TTCAGTCAAATGTTTTTTCCCCAGGACTATCCACATTTGATATTATTCATTCATTTTTACTGGTCAATTGTTTCCCATCTTATAAATTGGCCACAATTTATTTATCTATTTTCTTGTTAATAGGCATTTAGGTTATTTCCATTTTCCTCAGTACAAACAATCCTGCTGTTGGCCGTCTCTTTATACACTCTGCACGGGTTTCTCTAAAGTTCTGCTTCTCAAGCTTTAATGAGCTTGAGTCACCTGAAATATCTTGGTAACTACAGATCTGACTCAGGTCCAAGACAGTGACTGAGAGTTGCATTTTTATTTTTTATTTATTTATTTTTAAGATAACTTTTTCCTTTTTTATGTAGATGCTGAGGATTGAACCCAGTGCCTCACACATTCTAGGCAAGCGCTCTACTGGTGAGCCATAATCCCAGGCCTGTTTTTTTTTTTTAATATTTATTTTTTAGTTGTAGTTGGACACAATATCTTTATTTATTTTTATGTGGTGTTGAGAATTTTTTACAAAGTGGGGTTCTAGTACATACTGAGAATTGCTGGGTTATAGGGCGTGTACATCATCAACTTTCTCTAGACATCATCAAATTGAACAAATTTCACTCCAAATGAAGTGAATGTTTCCATTTCCAAATTCTCACCAACACTTGATCTTGTGAGAATCTTAGCAATCTGAAAGCATGAAACAATAAAGTCACATTTCCCTGATTATTATGATAATGATACTCTTTTCATGGTTTTTAACTATTTAAGCTTTTTTTCCATTTGTATAGTATACCCATTTCTCTAATGCAGCAGTTCCAAGTGTGATCCAAGGGCTCTGAGACACATTTGGCAAGGGTCTGCAAAAGCCCCTCCTTTTCCAATTACATAGCTATGTAAGGCTATATTATCTTCATGTATTTAACTAAAACATATAGAAACGGATTGATTGCTCTGCAGGTAGGAGAGTCCAGCCCTCTTAAGTTAAACATTAAAAAGATTTATAAAATGTAAAACAATGGTATTCTTCTCACTAAACTTTATATTTAGCATGTATTTTTTTTACTTTTAAAAAATTTTCTCAACTTTAATTCTAACACGTATGATCCACATACACAAAAACTCTGGGTTATCAATTTTTTAAAGTATAAAGGGACTGGGAGGTTGTAATGGACATCTGTAATCCTAGCTACTCAAAAGGCCGAAGCAGGAGGACAAGTTCCTTGAACCCAATCTAGTGTCTCTTTAATTATTTAAATAATTAAATAATAGACAAATACATAAATTTGTAAAGGGGTTCAGGACCAAAATGGGTGAGCACTGCTATTCTAACACACAACTGTCATTTCTCACTGATTTGCAGGAGGTTCTTAGGTTTTTCCAGTGTATTCAAGATACTGACCTTGTCAGTTATGTGTACTGCAAACATTTTCTCCAGTCAGTAGCTTGTCTTTTTACTTAAGTGCCTATTGTTCTACAGAAGTTTTAGGTGTGATGCAATCCTATTTACTGTAAATGTTGTGTTTTCATGTCTGATTTTAAAGAAATTCTCTGTTCTGCAAAAATCACAAAGATAATTTATAGATTCTCATTTAAATGTTTTGTTTTTCATATTTAGATCTTTTATACTTGTAATTTGTATTTTGGAAAGGGTGTAGAGTAGTACGTATTATATTTTCACTCTAAAGATAACTCCCCACAATCTGTTAAAAATCCCACATTATGGGATTTTTAACATATGCACAGACGTGTTTCCGGGCTCTCTGTTCTCATCAGAGTTATGCTGACCTACACAGGCACCAGTCACACATTGCTCTAATACCTCTTAATAATGTTCTTTCATATTAACAAATTCAAGCCTCTTCCTTTTATTCCTCAAATTATCTTTCTTCTTCTCCCCCAACCCCCACCCTTTGGTACCAGAGATTGAACCAGGGGTGCTTAACAACTGAGCCACATTCCCAGCTCTGTTTTATTTGATTTAGAGATAGGTCTTCACTAAGTTGCTGAGGCTGGATCTGAACTTGTGATTCTCCAGCCTCAGGCTCCTGAGCTGTTGGGATTACAGGTGTATGCCACCATACCTAAAAAGTTGATTCTTCTTAAAAGTAACCCCCTACCAAGGTTAACAAAGTTTGGAGTGTGATAAAAGGATTACTATGTTGAGAGGCTAAGCAGCATCCCCTAACCAGCTGTGGAGTTCATATCTGTCTGAGCTCAGCTTTCTCTGGAGCAAAAGATCTAACAATCATTTTTTACTTTCCTTCTACAAATCCCAAGAGCCTATAATTTTAGCATTAAGTAAACATTAAGTAAATTAGCTGATGAAGAAAAGGCTAATTGTAATGCATTAGTAGAAATACTTCAACATTGCATATTATTAATAAAGTGAATTTAGGAATTTGCCCATAGGGTCATAAGGTTCTATTTATTGCTTTATGTTGAAAGTTAGGCTAGAATCAGTACCACACCACACAGCATTCTCAAGGTTTTGGGATCCTCTAAAATGAAATTTACTGTAAGAATTAATTTCAGGGACAATTTCTACAAATACTAAAGTAGCTTTCCATATGAAAATTCTGCAGAGGAAGACTTAAAGAAAATGAAATCTTCTGATAAAATCCTGTAAGTATTATTACAACACAAAAATACCAATATTGCTCTACCAGCAATCAACACACACTCTGATAAGACAGATCTTCTAAAAATTCATGCACCGTGGAGCTCTTTCTCCTTTGTGACCCAAGTCAAGAATTAGCAAAATCACTTTTTTTTTGGGGGGGGGCTAATTCTTGACTTTGTTCACAAAGGATATTGTCCTATTTTGAAATAGGGAAAGTCTAAATGGGTTTTATAGAAGCCTAAACTCTTGCTCCATTGAAGACTCATAGGGGGAAAAAAAAAAGAGGATTTTCCTTAACTCTCTTCTCCCAGAGTCAATGTTATCTTCACATCTGAACCAAGTTACATCAAGATAGTTGCTACTGACCCTTAATGAAATCAATGCAAAATATGTGCTCCTGTATTTTAGAATATGATTTTGCATCAAACAAAACTGCCACTGATTCACCAAAAATATTATTTTACCCCTGGCATCATATGTATGTTCTTGTTTTCTTCTTCAGATGTAGATTTAGGAAACAAATTCCTTTAAAACTGCATGCACACATGATTTAATGTGCACACTTCTATCTGCAAATATTTTAATTAAAAAAGATTTAATTCATTTAAATTGGGCAGTATTTTGTATAAAGCTTTTGTTTTAAAAATTGTTTTCATATATACTATTTTATTTGCCTTCATAATGATCCTGAATGGAGATAATACTATTATACTAAGCAATTTGTTGTAATAAGGAAAATGAAGAGAGGATTTATCATCATCATATCAGATTAGAGACACGATCACTAACTTCCAATCACAACTGATGAAGATCTTTTGAAAAGTAAGGTTGATTTTTCTTTTTTTTTTTTTTTGTCAAACTGAGTAACAGTGACAAGTAACTCCAATCAATACTCACATGAAGCAAAAACAAATTAAACACAAGCATGGTCAATACAGAGGAAAGCAAAGAAGGTTTAAAGAACATTTATAAGCCACTCTCTGCCCTTTAAAATATCTTTATATTTTTTTCACTATATAATAATATGTGACTTACATGTGCTTCTATTTACCTACATTCCTATTCATAATTATGACCAACTTTATTAGATAGTGTTCAAATGAAGTCTGGGAGGAAAAGATCAGAATATACAAAACTGGCTAGTATTGCCCCTGAAAGATGGAGAAAGTTGGGGAAAGAACAATTGCAAGGAATTAATAATAGTAGTTAAAAACAGAAAAGTAATATGGTTAAAAAACAAACAAACCAAAACCCCAAATCTTTAAATACAAAAGAAAAAAAAATTAAGACTCAAATGCATATTTTTAAATCAGTAACAGAATCAATAACCAACACTATACATAAAGCTATCAGAAAAGACCTTGCTATTGAGGACTCTTAGTATTTCAGAGCTTACACATATTAACATTTCCTTCATTTGAAGATTTGAGGATATAAGATCAGGAATAATCACATGAAACAGAAAATACACATTTCAAGCTGGTGAGTTTAAAATCACTTTCAAGACCAATTTAAAGAACGGAGTATTTAATCTATTCTAAACTTGACTCACCACTTATTTATATTGTGTATTTGGTCACACACAGTTATAATGATTCTCTAGCTTCTTTTTGATTTTATATTCACCACTGCTACAGAGTAGATGGCTTTCAAGTATCTGCCCTATCAAATCATCTTTCATTAAGAAAGCTTTTTTTCATTGAATGATGAAAAGAAAAAAAAAAAAAAAACAAGAAAGAAACTCAATGAAGAACAAATCCTTTGTTAAGGAGTCAGTAAAATTTGGAAACATCTGCTTGCTACCTGTTACGTTCATAAACATCACCATGTCTATGGAGAAAGTGCCAGTTAAATTGATTTGCCTCTACCTCTACAATTCAAATCAGAATTAAAAAACAAAAAAAATATATCTTTTGGCAGTACGAAGGGTTGAACCCAGAGCCTCACACATGCTAGGCAAGTGCTCTACTAATAAGCTACATCAAAAGCCCTTTTTATTTCATTTTGAGACAGGGTCTTGGTAAATTGCCCAGGTTAGCCTTTAACTTATGACCCCTCTTCCTGCCTCTGCCTCCTGAGTAGTGGGGATTACAAGTGTGCCACCACCATACTAGGCTTTAAGATATTATTCCTGAAACACAATCATACATGTTTAATTAGTTCCCACCTATCATTGTCCTTGAGGAAAAAAAAGAACAGAGTACTTGACAATTGCTTATTTAAAAATAATTTAAAAGTCAGAACTGGAGTCATGGTGTCAGGTGGAAAAGAAACCTAGGGTGATTTTTAAACGATCTGAGTTTTTGACAGATTACAAATCAAAATTTAAAAGCAATAAACAAATAAAAATACATAGTGTGAAATTCACAAAATGAAGGAAAAAGGGGCATTTGTGTTAAAATAATTTAATTCTCCCTGTACATCTCTGTTCACGTGAGAAATCAAGGTACACACTTTACAATATTTACCTGTTTTGAGACATTCAAGTCAATTCAGACGGCAAAAGTAGAATTCAATCACTAGTGAAATGTTTAAAAATATATATATTAAACAAAAAAATGTCTTTATAAGATAAAAAATAATCTTCCACAATGCAATAAATTGCAGATCACTGAAATTTTAACTCTTTAGATGATTTCAGTTCAGTTTTTGGTTTCAAAATTTAGAGACAGTTTAAAAAAAAAGTGTGTTGGCAGAATTTCTATCTGTTTTTACGTTTCTCTTTCTTGCTTCGACTACTTGTTACACTGGTTAAAGATGAAGATGGAGGTGCTCTTGCATGACCGGTAGCTTTCAGATGGTCAAAAAGTTTATTCCGGGATGGAAATTCACTATGGCAGGTTGTACAGCTGATAAGAATATCACTCTGAGAAGGGGAACAAAACATAAATAAAACAAGTGTTATCACTTGAGAACAGTGTTTAAACATCAAATATCTTCAAAATACAACTTAAAAAAAAAAAAAAAAAAGCTACCAAAACAGGTTCACTGAAAGCAGATATTCCTGGAATTTAAATCTCATCAACTAATACCATCAGCTCTAAGCATTCTGAGATTTTCAATGGCATGCACCACACAGACTAGAGAACTTATATTTATGCTTCATAATTAATCATCAGAATTTGATACAGAGTTTAGATTATAATATAAAATAAAATACCTATTCTAGTATCTAGTATTTCTAATGTACTTCTCATTTAGAAGAAAAAAACGATAGTAGTAGATATATAAATTCTGCCTTCAGCATGCAAAACCATGATGGATCCACATGTTGCAGATTGTTGGGGAAGGATTAACCCCATACACATTTTTATCTTTAGGACATTATGCTGCTCAAACAAGACCCACCAAAGATGTGAATATGGTTTTGACCTACCAGTATTTGTGGTTCAGCAGGTATTTTGACAGTTTTTTTCACATCTTTGGTTTTCTTTCCTTTGGGCTTAGGAACACTGGAAAATAAATTATTTAGCATAATACAAAATAATGTACCCTTTTTAATTGTCATCTTGCTTCAAGAACAATCAAAAGATGAGATGTACTTTAAAGGCTAGTTCATTAATTTTAATGGCTAATTTAATCTTCACATGGTCACTAAGCAGCTTTAAAAAGTACCTGCAGAGATTAAATTAAATTAAATAACAAATTTGGCACAAAAATTAAGTAATTTACTTAAAATAGTTGAAACAAAAACAAAAATAATACCTCTAAAATATCTCCGAATATTTATACAGTGTATTTTAATAAAAAGCAAACCATCTTCATAACCAGTCAGAAGTAATGATGATCTATGATATTAAGTGCGGTTGCACAAAAAACATCAAGTTCTTGAGCCTTATCATTCAATAATTTAATGGCAATATAAAGACATTATAATGCATTTTTCATAAAATTAAAATTTTCTCCATGTAGGAAATTTACTTTCATTAACAAATGATGTCCTGATCTGGTGGGCTTTCCCCTGTACCCTTTAAACCAGAAACTGCCTGACAGAGCAGTCAGGGTTTTCCTGTTCTGCTTGAACTCTGAATATTTCTCTACACAATTTCCTCTATGAATCTTAAACAGTTGGATACAATACTTTTATTTTATTTATTTATTTTTATGTAGTGTTCAGGATGGAACCGAGGGCCTCGCATGTGCTTGGCAAGCACTCTACTGCTGAGCCACAAGCCCAGCCCCCATATACAAACAGTTTTTAATGAAGCACTTTTCACTAAGTAGCCAGAGTGTCTACACACTGCAGAGAAACAGCAGAGCCCCTGCAGAAAGGTCTCAGAGTTAGGAGACCAGTTGAAGGGTGGAGTGGTAATGCATCTATCTCAAACCTACCATTTCTCAGCTCTACTTCATGGCCCACTCCTTGTACCCACCAAGCAGCCCAAGATCCCCTACAAGACACTCAAACCTCATGGAGACAGATGTTCTAGGTGCTTTCAAGTGACTAATCGGGCAGAAAGGGATTAACTGCCAGCTTTTCCACCTATTCAAGTTAACCTGAGATTCAGTTCTTCTCATTTGTCAAATAGGAACAAACACCTAGCATCTACCAGCTGTGTTGTTCCTTGTCCTCCTTTTCTACACAGAGAGCCTCAGTCATGTGTTTCTCTTTCACACTACTCTTTCTGAATTCCCCACACCCCTAAGTGCACTCCACTGCCCTATCACTTCAGCTCCAACATTGAGCTTTTTCACTTACTCTGCCACTTTACTCTTGTACTTAGACTTCAGCTGTTTTCTAAGAGAACAAAAACCTGAGGCTACTGTTTAAATCCTTCCTCAAGGAATAAGAAACAACTCTGTATTCTAGAGGAACAGATAAGGATGGGGACAAGGAAGTCAGACAAGAAGCTAGGAGAAGGACTAGATCTCTTCCCTGAGTAAGACTTTCCTCTAATCCACCACTGAGAATTCTGGCAGCACCAGGACTCCAGGGTTTCTTTTAGCAGGAAGACCCAAGCTGCTGACCTGTACTCTGACAATGCCATGGGGCTGAACACAGCATGCTGTCCCAAGCATGAAGATTTACTTGGTAAAGCTCGAGGGGAATCAGGGTGGGGAAATAGACTCAAAGGCAGTCTTGGTCTCATTTGAATGTCAAGGCCAAAATAAAAACAAGGGCAGTGCAAGGAAAACTGGAACTGAATCAGTGTTTCTGGTCATGTTGCTGAACTGTCTGTGACCATAGTACTACAGGATTCTGTTTCTAACAAGCCTGACTCATTCCTCTGTCTCTTTCTCTCTCTGTGTGACTCTATATCTATGTACAGTTTACACCTATCTTATTCATGGAAAGGAAATTTTGATATATAAAAGTTATCTTTATCATCAAATTCAGTAATTAGAAAATAATATGCAACTCTCACTTACCTTTTAGCTTCACTTTTTGGATCATCACAAGGTTCAATGGTCTCTGTGACATTGACATTTTCTTGGGGACTATCTTCTAATTTTTTGGCACTGTCTTGATTTAAGTTGATATTTTCTGGATCAACCTTTATTCCTTCTCCAGGTCCATTTTCATTACAATTGTCATCATAATTCTAGGTGAGAAAATATACAAAACAAATATATATAATACTGATTTCTTATATTATCAAATAGTTATAATAAATTGGTAAATGTCCCCATATACTCTAGTAGGTAGATTTCAGGAATTAAAAAGGAGAAGTAGGTACATCAGGCAAGGAGTAGCTCCACTTCAGAGACCTTTAGAATATCGTTCTAAAATACTCATTTAATTATATAAAAAAAATTAGCAAAAATGGAAGAGAGAATTTTACATATTATGTCCAATCACAATTTAATGAGGTATAGCATTTACATTTTTCCATGTTTTCTAACTGATTAGCAATGAGCAACTATTTTTTTATAGTTAAAAAACAAAACATTTAAAAGTGTAAATATTATCCCTAATTCTAACTTTAGAGATTACACCATGAGCTTATGTATGTAACAACAAAAAAATTTTTATAGGTGAAATGATTCGGTTATGAGAGGTGGAACCTAATCAGTGGATTAATCCACTGATGCTGATTAACTGGGTGGTAACTGTAGGCATGTATGGAGTGGTTGGAGGAAGAAGGCTATTGCTGGCACAACTTTGGATTTTATATTTTGTCTCTGGTGTATACAACTCTCTGCTTCCTGATATCATTTCTTGATCTGCTATCCTCCACCATGCCCTTCTGCTATGATGTTCTGCCTCACCTCAGGCCCACAGTTATGGAGTTGGCTAACCATGAACTAAATCTCTGAAAATGTGAGCCAAAATAAACTCTTCTTCCTTGCAGTTTTTCTTGTTGGGTATACTGGTCAGTTACTCAAAAGATGACTAAAACAGAATTTGGTAACTGACAAGCGGTGTCATTACTATAACTGACCCAACCACATGGTTCAGAGGCCTTTGGAGCTGGTTTTGGGGTGAGGTGGGGGAAATTTTGAAAAGTTTAGATATAAAAAATTGGAAAAGTTTTAGAATGTTATAAGTAGGCTTATGGGCAATTCTAGTTGGAGCTGAGAAGACCAGAATGCTCACAGAACTGTGGACAGTAAAGACTGGGCTCATGGGGTCTCAGAAGAAGAGACTCTACTAGAAATTGAACCAGAGGCCATTCAAGTTATGTTCTGGCAAAAAAGTTATATACACCTTGCCCATGTACTGAGATTTTTTATAAGGTTGAATTTAAAGATGATGTGCTAATTATTCTGGCAGAGAAAATTTCAAGGCAGAACAGCATTCAGGTGGTGGCATGGATATTGCTAGAAGCTTTTTAGATAAGTTTACTGTGATTAAGAGCAGAAAACAGACAGAAAAATCTGAAAAACTTTGGAGTTCTCGTGGGGATTCCCGGAGAGTTCCCATTGGTTGGGGAAGTGCGGGAACTCCAAAGTAGCAGGCCAAGGCGGACAGTAAAGGTCTAATATACAACCAAATCAATCCAGCATCATCTTAATGGCTTGCCTCTCAACCAATACTATTGGCAAAATGCCAGGGGCCATTCCGACTCGGCTATGGCTCTCAGCAAGCATCCAAGAATTTGCGTTGAGTCTCAAATGAGATTTTGGACTGGGACTTTTGGGCAAGGCTGAAACTGTTAAGACTATGGGAACGCCTGTAAATGGACTAAATGCATTTTGCATTGTGAGACAGGCATGGACAAAAAAAGGGAGCATGGACAGACTCTTATAATTTACTTTTGAGGAAGGAGTTCAGAAGTAATGTGTTCAAATTTTAGTTACACCAAAGCTCAAGTATAAGACAATGCAAGAATTTTCATATGTGACATGATCTAACAAGAGGTGGAACCTAATCAGTGCATTAATCCACTGATATGGATTAACTGGGTGGTAAATGCAGGCAGGTAGGGTGTAGCTCAAGAAAATACTTCGGGATAAGCCTTCAGGGATTTGTACTTTGACCCCGAAGCAGCTCTTTCTCTCTGCTTCCTGGTTGCCGTGTCCTTAGCTGCTTTCCTCCACCATGCTCTTCTGCCATTAATGTTCTACTTCATCTTAGGCTCAGAGCTGGCAAACTATGGATGACTCCTCTAGGTGAGCCAAACTAAACTTTTCATCCTTTAAATTTTTCTACCTGGGTTTTTTTGGTCATAGTGAAAAAAAGCTGACTAAAACAATGAAAATCGTCTACAACAGCCATTCATCCAATACATTTGGCATCTCATTTTATAATTCTTGCCTAAACCATTTATTATACTGGTGATTACAGAACAGTGATTTTCTATCTCTATTACTTATGCCACTTAAATTTGTACTAGCTCATATTTTTCTATAATAAAGTTTCCCCATTTCCATTTTCCCAACCTTTTTGTAAACTCAATATAGATACATGAATTTTTTAAATAAAATCAGTATGTAAAAATCTATCACCATTATTTCTTTTTATGACTCAAATTTTCTCACATTGGCAAGTTCTGTAAGCAGGGTCTTAAGGACTGATGACATATCCCTATGAGCTTTTTAGCACTTCCTTAGTTTCTAGTGTTAAGTGTTCTAGGCTCACCTTCTTTATCTCAGTCACGGAATCATCCATTTCTCCAAAAACCAAGCCTGCCTTTCTTTGTCAGAGAAAAGGAACTTAGAAACCAAGATGTGGGTGCTAACTTTGCTCATTGCCGAGGGATGTCACTACTTCTAGTTCATTGCTGTTTTAAATCATGAACTCCTACCAACATCTCCAATTCCAATCTTCCTCTCTTTTCCTTAATTTGAATTTATATTTCTTTTCTACCATAGAGAATCTAGTTTCTAACAGTATAATATATTTATCCACTATCTCTGTCCTATAATATAAAAGAGTTTCAGAAATACCTTATTAATACTACCAAAACCCAACTAAATTCAAGACTTAGTTTCTTTGCAGTTAACTTTATCTTTTGACTATTATCTCATGAGTTTAGAAAGTGCTTGTGTTCAAAATTCAAAACTTAGCAACCACACTGAAAAGTTGAACTAATCCTTTTTTGTCAGAATCATTTGTTTCTATTTACATTCAGTTTTAGTCCTTTAGGTTTGAGGGCTTTGTTTTATAATTCTTTTTGGTTTATCCAACTGGTTTTGTTCTTACTGTTATTTAATCATACAAAAAACCTTCCCAATTTGGAGTGCCAGAATTATACTTGCTGCCTGCTTCTCTTTGGTCCATCAGTACATGTCTCTACACTGCCTTCCACTTCAAGAGAGCTTAGAAAATACCAGGAAAAGTGCTACATACAGAACACTTATCTGAACCTAACATAATCAGAAATTGTAAACAAGAGGTGCTATAAAGAAATATTAGCTATGGAAGGAAAAAAATGGAGTAGTCACTTGAAGCATTTTGTCAATTAAGAAAATACTAACACAATAGAACCCATTCTCCGTGAATTATAACAGGCTTGTGTTAAGTATAAATTCTTCTTTGCTATAAACTCTGTCCTTATTCTAGTGGTATTCACTCATATAAAGAAAAGAGAAAATGTTCTAAACTAGTGATTATAGGGTCTTTGAGTGAATGATGGTACAAGTAAATTTATTAAAAGAATATATGATTTGCTATGCTGATTTATAACTGAAGCAAAAAAAGTTCCAAATTACAATTTAAACAGTGATTTATTTGTACCATATATCATTTTTGGAATAGGAAAGTGATAAAAACTACCTAATAGATTATTATAACCATTTGGATAAATAAGCCAAATCTAAACTTATGAGAAATTATTAATAGATTACCTAAATGTTTTTAAAAAACATTTACTGCTTATTAATATAACTAAGTTATATTAAAATGACACAAAATCAATCCAATTTGCTTTAGAACTACCAAATATCATTACTAAAATGGACAAGCTTGCAGTTTTTACAGGTTCCAGAGTCATCCATAAGATTGTGTTTGGCATGTGTAATGACACCATAATACTAAAGAATAATACTATAAACTGATTCTAAATACCAACTGTGAAATATTTAAACTTCTGAGTTATAGAAATATTTTCTCAATATATCATTATGAGTTTTTAATCAAATGTTCCTTCTGCAATATTTCATTGATGTTGTTAGCAGAATAAAATTAGAAATATAATGATATTCTTAGCTTTAGATTTTAGGTGACTTGAAAGTCCAATCATCAGATGTATCCACACTTTTTTAATATGGCACTCAGATAATTCTTACCAGGAGAGTTATACATATGAAAAATTTAAACCTGAAACAGCAATTTAATTACATATATAGAAGGGGGAACGCAAGGGATAAAGAAAATACTTTCACTTCCTTTTAATCAATTTGATAACCAATATAAAATTATGGAATAAACCTACTCTCTTTAATACAAGCTAAATGGAATGAATGAAAGTTCTGTAACTTTATAAATGATATTTAATGTTAATAAAACCTTTTCAACATACCTGTGCCGGTTTTTGTTTCTTTTTCTTCTGTTTTTTAGAAAGCCTAAGAGCAAATATACATAAAAATGTTAAACAGTTGACTTTGTGAAAACTCACCAAGTGAAAGGAAGAAAATATTGAAATGAAATATTAGTGGTAAAGAAATATTTTAAAATATTTAATATTGTAAAGCACTAAAAATAAAAGCAAAATATTCATATTGTAACTTTTGAGAACAGCAGCAGTGGTTAAATGGTTGCCTAAGTATGAAACTGCTTTTAATATTGTCATAACATATTCTGTAAAAATTAGATCTGACATCCTGTCTTTACCCACTTCAACCCGATGAAGTTCCATCAACTATAAGGGACTGAAAAAATATTAGCATAACAGAAAATTTTTAAGACAAAATAGCATTTAAATAATCTCTAAATGTGACAAATATATCTAGTGAAATTTAATATTAAAAAGTACTTTTGCTTTGTTGTGTCTTCTATTTCTTCCTCGGAATTGGCATTCAATAGATTTTCATCTATATGAGATCCTGAAAAATTTTCTTCTTCTTCCTCCAATTGTTGTTTTAACAAGGCAACCATTTCCCGATGCTTCTTTGACTTTTCATGATTCTTCATGCTGAAAGAAGAATCTGATATGAGTAGCTGTACTAATGTTCATATATTCTCAGGGAAGTTGCTGGATGATTGCAACCAAGTTGAAATTGCCATATGTTTGGAATTTTTTTTACAGAGCAACAGAAGTTGGTCAGGACTGCCCAGATATTAAGGCCTCTGGGATCTCAGCACTCCCCTCATTTTCTTCCTTTTTAATTTTTATATATTTTTTTTCCTTCTTTTCTTGCAAAATTCTCTATTTGTTATTTTCTCTTAATGCATGATTTTGTACCTTTATTTCAAGAAAATATTATTTTTATGAATAAAATAAAACAAAAAACATTGAACAAAAGAAACTATCAGAACAAAAAGGCAAGCCCCACAGAGGGAGAAAATATTTGTCATATATATATTTTTCAATTCTTGAAATTAAAGCTTTCTCCACAATTTCCTTTTAATCACTAAGTATTTGCTAAAAGTGGCTTCTGTATTTCAGGCCATGCTACAGTCTTTCAGGGATCACTGAAAATGGAAAGATAAACATTCTAACTTCAAAAGGAATACCCCTAGAGTAACAGTGATATGAAGGCTTGAAGGACAAAAGTAGTTTACTTTCTTTTGCTTTTTCAACAGCTGGTTTTCACCTTCTCAAGTGGAGTCTACCTTCTCACTCCTACTACCCTGAATCTAAGTTCAAACACATGTTTGAAACTGTACAGAATGCTATTTCAATGTATCTACAGGGAACTAAAAAACATTTCACAAAATAGACCTCACAATATTAGAGTTAGATATACTAGAATGTAGGAGAGTTAGGCCTAGGATATAATTCAATAATAGTGCTTGCCTTGTATGCAAAGAACCCTGGGTTCCAACCCCAGCACTGAAAAAGAAGAAGAGGAAAGTAGGACACCTGTGTCACTCAATACTTCATGTCATCTGTTCAGACTTTTGACTTCCCAAATTTTGATTACTACTTTTCCTTCCAAGTAAAATTCTCCTTCAGAACAAAGCCCCTTGGATAAATTAAGATATAATCACTGTATTATAAATAAGTGCTCAAAATGATAAGGTCATGTCAAAAAGACATAAGAAGCTGGCCTGAAGGAATTCTGAGCACATCTATAAATATGTGATCACACTGACAAAAATTTACAAATTCAATAATAAAAGAAAATTAATAATAAATACATAAATAAGGTAGATAAATGGGGGGAAGAGAGGGTGCTTGTTTTTACAAAAGAACACCAAATGCTGATTAATAAATGCAGAAGGAGCAGAAAAGCATCATTTGGCAACCAACACAAGGAAGACTTGTAAAGGTCGAGTATTCCTTATCCAAAATAAACATATCGTATCGTAAGATATCTTGGGGATGGGATCCAAGTTTAAACACAAAATTCAGCTATGTTTCACAAACATCTTGTACAAATAGCCTGAAGGTAATTTTATACAATATGTTCAATGTGCCTGCATTTTGACTAGGTCTGTTGCAAGAAAAGAGGTGCAGAATTTTCCTACTTATATCTGCACTCAAAATTTTTGTTTAGGATTTGGGAGAATTTCAGATTTTGAATTTTCAGATTAGCGATACTCAACTCATGCAAGATGAAAATTGTCAATGGACGCTACATTTGTGGGGATTTCTCCCTACAGATTAAACATGTTTCTAAGGAAAATTTTTGCAAGGGAAAAAAGTACTAATTCTGCAATAGAAAAACTGAATAACACCTTGATTAGGTAATCAAAATGATCACCAATGAAGAGGTGACTTTGTGTGTCCCCAGATATGAACCCTTAAGAATGTTATGAAGTATCCACCTGGAGATGCACAACTGGAGTCTAATTGTGAAGTAGCAAACCCTAAATAAGAGAACCCTTAAGAATGTTATGAAGTATCCACAGTTTGGCAGTTTAAAGTTCCTAGGCTGGTATTAACAACATCCATGGAACAGCAATGGTTGGACATTTGATGCCAATAATGGGGATAGATGATTGCAATCTAGCCTCCTCAACTGTATGACTATGTCTTGTCTCAACAAGCAGAACTTCTTTCTGGAAACATCATGTGTGTTTAAAAAGCAGATATTACATAGGAATATTGAGATGAATGACAATTGGTACAACAGGCTTAACTACTGGTACAAAAACTTCTTTCTTCCCAGTAGGGGTTAGTGATCTACTGCTGTAAGCAAAGTCTTTTAAGGACATTCAAAGTGTTACATTTTACCTCAAAAGAAAAGGTGAGTTCAATGATATTAAACTTACGCCTTTTCTGTCTTGAAAGATTTGTCACATGCTGGGCAGTAAAGGTCATCATAAAGCTCAGTATCCTCCGCCTCATCACTATCTTTACCTAAGAGAGGAAAGCCTATGGTAAGAATCCTATTTGGTTAGAATACAAACCTAAAGTAACAAATGATAAATGAATCTAAAACAAAAATAAAAACAAAAACAAAAGCAAACCAACCATAGGCTGTCAGGACTTGAACTGGTCTTTCAAAAGCAACAAAAGCTTTCAAATAAATCACCATATTTTACACATTCTTTTCATAAATATGCTCAGAAGATTCAGAAAATCTGTGAATCCTAAGTGGGAACTCAGTGTAGAACATCAAACGCCATTTTAATATTCAACCACAAAGCAGGTTTTTCAACACAGGTTTTTTACAACTGTGATCTACTCTGATAAGCTTAAACTTAGCTTACCACAGTCCATTATTACTGAACAGGTCTTAAAACAGTATATTATATGGAAAAGTTTAAACATTTTCTTTACAGCCCTTTTTATAAGCTTGAGGTTTTATTAAAAACAGAATAATTACTATCATTGTAATCCCATGAAATCCAAGTGACAAAGGAGCTCAAATGGAATTCTTCCAACAACAATCCCATATTCTACTTTTTAGGAAATAAAAAATAAATTAATGCCATTTGGGATTTATTATTACCAATAATAAAGATCCCAAGGTATCTCTTTCATATTCTACATTCTGGTTCTTTATAAGTAATGTTAATATAAGTCTGAAGAACTACTCACTGAAGTCACAAATAACCAAAATACATCCTATTAGGGTTAATGTCCAGGACAGTAGTTCCCCTTAACCACAGGATTTATTCCAAAACCTTTGGTGGATACCTGAAAACACAGATACTACCAAATTATATAAATGAATGCCTTTTCCACCTTAACCAAGCACTTACTACAAACGGTGGCTGTAACTTTGCAGTTTGAAATTGAATAGTAAAACTAGTATGGATTGTTTTTCTTCTTTACAATTTCATAGTTACAAGATTCATTCTTACTTGATTGAGTTCTTAGTAATCTCCGCACGACTTTTTTTCCTTTTCTTAAATCAAAAATTTCCACCTTTTATTTTATTTATTTATTTATTTACATTTATTTATTTAGGTACCAGAGATTGAAGCCAGGAGCACTTAACCACTAACCACATCCCCAACTGTTTTTTTTTTTATTTAGAGCTAGAGTCTCACCAAGTTGCTTAAGACCTCACTAAGTTGCTGAGGCTGTCCTTAAACTTGAGATCCTCCTGCCTCAGCCTCCTGAGTTTCAATGGGATTACAGGCAACTTTTCATTTAAAGAAAGCACTTTATTAAGGCTTTTATTTGGCATATCATAATTGCCAGCATTGTTAGTCTTGCATTTTGGGATGATTATTAAATAAAACAAAAGGTTACCTGACCAAAAGCACTGTGATACCATGACAGTTAATCTGATAACCTAGAGGGCTACTAAGTGACTATGAGTAGCATATACTCTGGAAAAAGGGATGATTCCCTTTCCAAATGGGGTGAGACAGAATTGTGCAAAATGTTATCACACTACTAAGATTAATGCACAATTTAAAGCAAGTTATTTATATAATTTTCCATTTAATATTTTCAGACCACAGCTGACCAAAAGTAACTGAAATAATGGAAGGTAAAATCAAAGTGGAACCTACTGCACGTGGTGTTATTTTCCAATTATCTGTGTACTTTCAAAATATCATATATGTGAAATAATCTTCAATTAATCCGTTAATTTAGAATGCTGGATTTGAAGTAAAAAAAAAAAAATCTACATCTCAAAGTGGGTTATGTTCTCAGGTTTATGCCAATCTCCAGACTCCTACTTTCCTCTTCAGTAAAATGGATATAATTTCATTGGCAAAATCTACATTTAAAGGGTACTTCATGAGGATTAAGTGAGATCTTGTATATAAAAGGAAAATTATAGTATCTGCTGTTAAATGGATGGAACTGGAGACTATCATGCTAAGTGAAATAAGCCAATCTCAAAAAAAACCAAAAAAACAAAGGCTGAATATTCCTCTCTAATATGTGGATGCTAACACACAATCAGCATGTGTCTGGGGGAGAAGAAATTCACAGGATTAGACAAAGGGAAATGAATGGAAAAGAAGAGGGATGGAAGTAGGAAAGGCAGTAGAATGAATCAGATATAACTTTCCTACACAACCCGTGTTAACGCCACATCGTGTATAACTACAAAAATGGGAAGATACACTCCATGTATGTATAATATGTCAAAATACATTGTCATGTATAACTAAAAACAAAATATAAAAATTTTTTAAAAAATGACCTTATAAAGTATAAAGCTGTGAATTAGGACATTTCACATTTATAAAGTGCTTTATAATTTTCAAAGCACTTTTTCACATACTATTTCTGATTCACTAATAAAACACTTCATTTCCTAATCATTTTGAATGAATAAAAATTTGTCATTTTATCGTTCAGGCTACTAGTAAGAAAAAAATCACATTCACAGCTATGTGAAATTAGTAAACTATTTATATAATTTGGTTTTATTTATGGAAATGCCAGAGGCAGTGTGGAAAATCAGATATACAGCTATTCTCAAAAATGCCAAAACCTCACTTTTGGCATAGTTACTTGCTTATGCTTTAATGATAGAGACACAGAAAATATTCTGGGACACTAAGAGGAGCCTTTCTACAAAGTTAGAAGAAAGAGAAATAATTAATACATACCACACAGACTTTTGCACAAAATACGCTTTTCTGGAAATAACTGCTATTACAACTTGACCTACTGTTTAACTGCATTTTCTTTGAAAGGCCAGTCAGTCACACTTCTGAATATGTTCACCTGTCATTACATTTAAGCAGCCCGAAATGCAAGTCATTTAGATTACAGACAAAGTAACTTATAAACAAACTACCTGAACTAGACTGCTTCAATAGAGTACCTATGTGAGACCCATACAATTATTTTTAATTAAAAAAATTAAATTAAAAATTGGGAGATGTTCCATAAAATCCAGATTTCCAGCTTTACTTAGAAAGCAAACAAAAGAATGAAAACTCTGGCACAGTACTGGCAATAATCAGCTGGAACTCAAGGATCCTCTGGGTTTTCCCTTCCCTACCGTCCAATTCCTGGGTCCCTTTACTGGAACTTGTAGTGTTCTGAGTGTACATCCTTGCACACAATAAAATTTATTTCCCAAAATTTGTTAGTCAATAAAAATTACCATCTTGTCCATCTTTAAGCTCATGCTGCTCCATTTCATTATCATCTGATCCATCTCCAAACTCCTTTTCATATCGTGCTTCCATCTCCCGGAGTTCCTTCTCCAAATCGGCCATGGTCATCCAGCTCTGTTCTCTGTACTGTTCTGCCAGTCTAGATTCACAGAACAAAGCCTTACTCTGACAAGCATATCTCTACAAGGGTTTTACTCGTTTCTTAGGCTTAAAAATCTATCCCCTAGAGACCTTCTTCCTCCCGAGCTGTAATGCTTACAAACCTAAACCCTGTGCTTAAGTTAAATCTCTGGCAAAGTCACTGAAACCTGTCACTTAGCTTGTTTTAATTGCTTTATAATGGGTTTTAAAACATAAATCTTTACAGCATGTAAAAAGTCTTCAGATCACTTTAAGTCAAATAAAATACTAATCTTCAAAAGATGACAGGTGAAATAAGTAGAATTTTTAGTAAGTGAATGACTTACTACAATGTTCTGGACCCAAATGTTTACAGTTTACTCTTAACAACAAAACTTTAAAGAAACTAAAATGAACTTAATATCTCAGAATATCAACAGAAATGCAATGTTGCATGGTGGTTAAAAGCAAGGCCCTAAAGTAAACTTGGATCTGATTCCCAGCTCTGTGATTGACTAAGTATGTGACCTTGGGCTTTCTGTCTCATTTCTTCACAAGAATGAAGAGGATAAAAATTCTACACAGAGGGCTGGGGTTGTGGCTCAGCAGTAGAGTGCTCGCCTCGCACATGCGAGACCCTGGGTTCGATCCTCAGCACCACATAAAAAAATAAATAAGTGAAATAAAGGTGTTGTGTCCAACTACGACTAAAAAATAAAATTAAAAAAAAAAAAGAAAAAAAATTCTACACAGAATTGTGGTGGGAAAGCAATCAGAACAGGGCCTTGCACACAGTAAGAATTCAATTAACATTAGTTACTATTAGATTTTATAAGAATATATAAAGGACTTCAAGTATAAAGGGCCTCTAAAGAAAAATACCCAAATTAAAATGAAAATGTTTTCATAATGGGTGAAAACATTCTACCTAATGCCAGGATTAAATCACAATAATGACTGAACATGACATGAGAACCCAAAATCTGGTCCCTACTGATGCTGCCCTTGATCCCTCCTAAAACTGAGAAAGGAGCTAGTCACATACTTTGCCTGCTTTAGTTTCTGTTGCCGTCTCATCTCCTCAGCCTTCCTCGCCTTCTCTGCATTCTGTTCCTCTACAAGCTTCCGATGTGCCTGCACTCTTTTATCTCTTTTCCGGATGAAAGCTACCAGCTGCCGAACAAGCTCATTCTTCTCTTTCCTTGCTTTGTCTCGAATCTTTTTGTTTTCTTTTTCCATGGCTCGTTTTTCCCAGCGGTTTGAAGCATGCCGTGTATCATATTCTTCCTTCCAAGCAAAATTCTTTTGGGTGCAGAAACTCTGCCAATAAGCGTAGAAAGGGTGGACTACCTAGTGACAAAGAAAATAGGTAAAATTCTACTTTTTTTAAAAAAAGCAGTAAATATTAATGATCCAAAACATCCCACTTTCTTTTTTCATATATATATAGCAATCCCACTAATCAATGCACAATCCTTTTAAGGATTTAAACTACTCTTCAATAGATTTAAGAAAAAAAGAAAACAATCTTACTGGCCAAAGAAAAAGATTATGGTCCATTTACAGAAAAAGCAAAGAGTGTGGCTCTGAGAGAACAGCATGTTCCTTCAAAAGGAGAGAGGATAAGAGAAGTCGTCATAACACAGGACTAGGACTCATTTCTTTAAAAATCAGAAAATGGGAAAAAGAGTGATAAATGCTAATTATAAAATGCAATGCGCTTGTCTTTTACCTTATCATAGTCACTCTGGGAGTCTCCAAAAGTTGGGAAATCCTCAACATCCTCCTCTAACACAGATTCCAGTTCTTCCTTTGCAATCATTTCAAAAACACTACGATACACTGTGTAAAAACCCTAAAAAAAAAAAAAAAATCAGAAACACAAATACTTAATATTTTTATAGTCTAATCACAAAGAAATATTTTAAAATGTAAGATGAAAAACTCTTCACATTGAAAATTTATAGAATTCAGCTCTGGTCAATGCCAGTACATTTAGTATCAATTGGAAGTTTTTATGTAAATATGAAGGCACTGAATATTAAGGGTTCAAAATGAATATTGCTTCACTTTTTATTTTAGAATACTTTTAAGAATTCTCTATTTGAGTCTTAAGAAATTAAGACTTTCACTTATCTTACCTTTTCATCGTCTCCATAACCAGAATAACAGGTAACAGTGAAATAGTGAAGCAAATCTAAGCTGTCATCTTGGTATTCTCCATCAAGCCCTCCTTTAAGTAAGGCCTCTCTATGATTATCATACCTTAAAAATAAAAAAATAAAAAATAGGCACCATTGGTGAAAGACAAATAAATAAGAATTCAAAGGACTCCTCACTACGTAACAACCAAAATGTCAGTATACATTTCAATGTGTCCAATATACAACCAATTTTAAGGAAATATTAACATGAAAAGACTTAAGCCTTTTAAAAAACTGTGCTATAGCTCCTAACTTTATGTAATATTAGCCCATATGAACAGAGAAATTTAAAAAGCCAGTAAATTTCTATGATTCTCCTAGAAAGGTGCATTTGCATAGGAAAGAAACAGTACAAATAAAGACAATATTGGACACAATTTGGTCCATAAGTAAATCTGAGAATTTACCAAATTGCAAGATAAGACTCTTTTTATGTTTAAGTAAACTTAAATCTATGAGCTTTATACATACATAATTACTATTCATATTAACTCTGTAAAGGTAGTTACTATCATCACTGTTTAATACAATGGAAAACTAAATTTCAGTGATATTAAATACTGTCCATGATCATAAAATCCACAAACAGTATCATCAGAATTCAAAACTAGGTCTCCTGCACTGGGCAAATCAGGTTCCTGCCACTACATGGTACTGCCTTCAAGGCAATAGGAGAGCTACCAGGCAGGAGCTTTATGTAAAAAGACATGAAAGTTCACGGGTCAAGAAAACAACCTAAATTCTAGAGAAGAGGCTTTAAACAAGAGGAAGTCAGGGAGGAATCTGAAAAGTTCCAAGAGGAAAGCAGAATTTCTAAGGCCAGATCTCCAAATTCTTCAGGCAGTGAAAAATTTAGGAATCTCTGATTTTCTTACAAAAGACAATTTTATAGAATTTTCTTCACAATCTCTCTTTGAGAGTCAGCTGTTCTGCACAATGCTGAATGCACAGACAATACACAGTAGCACCAAACACCACCTTCACTTTGTAACAGCAGGATCTTGCATGTCTGTGTCAGGGTTTAAAACTTACCACTTGTAAAAGGTTAATCAAGAATCTGAAAACTCACAACTTTCAAACATAGAAACTTTTATTTAGAAATGAAATTAAATTATCTAGTAAAAGTATCTGTCATAAATATAGAAACTTAACAAATATCTTCACATATTTTATGTATAATTCTTGTATTAAACACTCTTGCTTTTGTTTGTTTGAAACAAGTCTCACTTTACTGCCTAGGTTGGTCTTGAATGTGAGATCCTCCTTGCCACCCAGATCTACCTGATTTAAGGACAAGTCAATCTTATTCCTGTTGGACATCAGTAAATTTGTCATACACCAAAGGGACCAAGTAATAAGAAATCACTTAAAGTATAAAAATTAAAACTACATAAAATCACCAAACTTTGTTTAATTACCTATTAAACCAGATAGTAGCAAGAAGTATCTCCAAAGTTCTTTCCTACCATAATACTGCATTTTACATAATGAATAACTGATAGATGCTTCAGAACACACTGAAACCATCTAGTGTTTTAATTAAAAAAAAAAAAATCAAACCTATATTGATGATCCCTTCCAACAAAATAAATGAGGATGGGAAAGACAAGGTGATGCTTACCATGCTCTTTCCTGAGGGTCGCTCAACACATCATATGCTGCTTGAATTAATTTAAATTGTTCAGCTGCTTCTGCGGCGTTATCCAGATTTTTATCTGTTAAAATAAAGTTACAAAATTCCATCATTAAAAAAGTAGAAGGCAGACTGTCAGGGAGAGTCTTCCATCACAAAGGCCAAACAGATGAAGAATGTATAAAATAAAGAAAACAACTAAGAAAAATAAAAATCTACGATGACAGTTGATAAGCAGCAATCTATCACAAGCATCTATAAGTCTTGGTGTTATCACTGAATCTTCAACCTGGAATCCACAAATAGAAAACCTTAAGTAGCATACATTTTATTTCCACAATGAGAAAAAAATTCCAAATCAGTTATATAAAGACTGTTATTTATCTAGTATCTCGTGCTAGACTACATTTAGTGTCCATATATTTTTGTCAGTATATACCAAAATAAACTTCATAAAATTAAAAATATAAAGATACTAATTATTCTTCCCTTAGCTGTGGATTCTGATAGCATCTTTGTTTCAGGTGGTAGCTGGCACTCAGTGATCTCATCCTCCAGGCACTCATATCCTATGCTGTCTGTTCCCTCCCTCATTAGTAGGGTTGGTCTCTGTGACCAACAGCAGGGGCAGGAGTAATAATACATGCTGTATATGATGAGGTTATGAAAGACTGCAGTTTCTATCTTGGGCTCTCACTCTCTTCTGGGCATAGTTAAAAAATGCCATAGCTGAAGAACCAGACAGCCTATGGAAAAGTTCATGGGGTAAAAACTGGAGGCTCTCAGAGCTGTAGGCACCTTGGGCATGCCAACAACTACATGCATTAGTCTGGAAATGAACTGATTATCTCAGTGATCATATAACCTCACGAGAAGCCCTAAGCAAAAATCACCCAGACAAGTCATTCCCAATTCTGAGTCTCAGAAACTTGGGAGTCTATGTAATAAATAGATGTCTGCTGTTTTTGTTGCTTTGTTAATTTGTCTTGTAGCAATAGAAAACTAATACATTTGAAAGGAAAGTATTTTAAGAATGTCAAAGTTCTTTAAGCTACAACTCAATACTTATCTTCTAAGAGGTTAGATAAAAGATATGATGACAGAGAAATATATTCCCTATAAATACTATCTGTATCACTGACTCTCAAAGGCATCTTACTACTGCCTTTTCTCAGATCTCAACACAATGATCCCAGTCCTGTAGGTGGCCTTCTGCTCAACACTTAATACTGACAATACTTAAGTGTGGCAATTTGCCATGGCTGTTTTTACTGATGCTTTAACACAAAAAGCTTTATAAACATTTTAGAATCATGGTCTTTTGTAAAAGTGAAAGAAATCTTATATTAAGTAAAAATTATCTCTATTTTTGGAACCTCTCTGTATATGAGAAGTAACACAATCTGATAGTAACTCAGCTAGACAAGTGCTGAGTTTTTCAGCCAATACCCCATCTCCCTACCCACTTCTTCTCTGCACTGAGTACTCCCACTTCTTATGGCACATCAGAATCCCTTATTTCCAATACAGTCTAAGATAGGCATAGATAATCAATGAGCCACTTGTTACTTCTGAAATATTACACTTTTAATCACTATAACCAATTACATTAATTCCTAAGCAGCAGCATACTATCATACAGAATTAATGGTTGGCAAAGGTTCATATTTTTTTCTTTACTGACAAGTCTATTACTAACTGTACAATCAGTTACTTTCATAAATTCAAATATAGGATTTAATCCATTCTGTGATAGACACTACAAGTTAGATCATTCAATACCCTCTCCTCCTTTTCTCTTTAGTCTCTACTGGAGGTGAGGGGTGTGCAGGGGCTGGATATACACAGATACTTGCTTATCCAACCACCCTGGCTGGTAGGAATAGCCTTGTGACAAGGTTCTGACCAATGCAATGAAAGTAAAGTTATATTTTCTTCCTCCTTCCTCTTTTTTATTGTCTTACATATAGATGTAATGGCTGAAGCTTCAGCAGCTATCTTGAGATCAAGAGACAAAAGTCAAGAGATATGCAGTGACATTGAACATTTTTTACCAAGCTCATGAAATAAAGTATGTTGGTAAAGATGTCTTATGGTAAGAAAAATAAACTGGTTAGGCTTTCTGCTACTTCTGATGAATCTAGCAATTATATCTTGTTGTGACTCTTTTGCAATCAGGTTCTAGGTAGAACAGGACACACAGAGCTCTGTTGCAATTATTTGAGATTTTGACTATCACTCTGTAACAGATGTTTCCAGTGGCAATACACCCAGTTAAAAAATTTCAGACTTTCTTTCTTTTTTTTTTTTTTTTGTGGGTATCAGGTGGCAAGTTTTAGCCACTAAGTGAAGACTCTCAGGAAAGACACTGTTCTCTTGAAGAAAAGGGACCTGGGTGACACTCACAGTGTGCCCTTAAAGTATCAGTTGTGTCCTGCCCAAAGCTAAGGTGTAAGCTTACAGATGAAGCCATACTCAATTTAAAAATGTGGCAAAGACTGCTGGCTACCTTCTCCTTCCAGTTAACCCTGATTTTAGATACTTGGCCCCAGAAATAAAGAGTTCATTTCTCAGCCTCCCTTGAAGCTTGGGTGTAATCAGGTAATTAAGCTCTGGCCAATAAAATCTATAAAAATATTATACAGCAGCTTTTAAAACTCCTTAAAAGTAACTAGCACACACTCCTGCCCTTCCTTTATTCTGTCCTCCCTTTATCCTGTCCTCCCACAAGCTGCTATCTTGGATGATAGGTGAGCAAGCCATCTGAGAGTTCCTCAGCAGAAAGTCCAAAGGCTTCATGGTTGAAAACAGCTATTCCAGGCCCCAGCTGTCTTATCTCTGTACCTCTACACAGAAAACAATTCACTTCTGTTTTTGAGGCTTTACTGCCTAAACTTGATATAAGGATTCAAACCCTAGGGTGAGGACTATGGAGCAGGTCTCCAAAGGACTCATCAAGCAGCTGGAGCTCTCAGGACAGGCCTCCTCCAGATTTCTGGTCATGTAACAACTTTTTGGATTAGCCACTGTAGCCAGCTTCCCATCACAGGATGTTGAGCACAATTCTAATACCCCTTCAAGGTCCAGCTACAAAGAGTTATGAGTTCTATGTCTTCACCAAATCATTAAAAACATGTTCAAAAGGAAAAGAATAAGGACAGAGTCCTGTAATGTTCTGGCATTTTCCAATATTCACTTCAATATTCATCAAGCACACCTCAAGTAGGGCTCCTAAATAACCAGAGCATCACGATCTAACCAGCCTACACTTCTTCTCTGGCATCCTAGGACAATTGGGAGAAATTTTAAGTCTGAATTTTTTTTTTTTTTGTCAGACAAAAAGAAAAAAAAGAAGTCCAAATTAAATGACCTACAAAAAGCCAGCAACTGAATCTTCCTAAATACAACAAAAACAGGTACCTGTAAGAGAGGGGGAAAGGTGTTTATTTTTCCTTTTTACCAGTACTGTACCTTGTCCTCCTCCTTTGTCCCATTCTCTTCTTTCCTTTCCTGAAGAAGTCTAGAGAAAGCTAAAGCTTTAATTAAACACACAAAACCCATGAACATACCATCTAAAAATACAGTCTCATCTCTAGTTACTAGAGTCATTTTCTTAAGTAATTTTTTTCAATCTGTCATATGGCTTTCTATTTCACATAAATATATCAAACTCAAATCTAAGTGTAATAAGGTAAACAAGCAATAATAAGGCAAGTTTACATTTTCTATATGCGAAAGTCACATGTATTACAAATCCAGTCACTGGAGTTTAAGTAGTTCATTCTCACGCTATCTTTGTGCTTTTCTCTTCTCACATTCACTCTTCTGCCCCCTCCTTAACTTTTTTACAGTGCCTTCTGGAAGATTTCAAGGGTAGTGCCTTTTAAACCTGGCCTTGGCTCCCTGAAAACACTCTACAGGCCTCTTGGCTCCTCTTGCCACAGCACTCCGACAGCAGGCATCTGCCTGGCCACTGATCCTTTACTCTCCCACAGGTAAGAAGTAGCATTCCTGTGGGTTATGAACTCCCATTTTTACCCCGTATACAGATTGCAGAATCACATTGGTTGAATCAAATGTATGAAATATGATATGTCAAGAACTATGTAATGTTTTGAACAACCAATAATAAAAATTAAAAAAAAAAAAAAGAAGTAGCTTTCCTTTGAGATTCAGACCATTTGGCCAACCATCCTCTTCATCACTGTTCAATTGTCTTCCTGACTCAATGAAAAATTTAGTACCTGGCTCAGAGATTTCATATCAGTTGAGTGACTTCAATTTCTTGACCTCCTGGCCTCCATACCTCTGGTCTTGTGCCTTCCATTACCCACTCCCAACAATAGTCTGAGAGAAACTTGAAAAACCTGAATCTATCATTCCCCTGCTTCCAGGTCCTTGATGGCTTCAGGTCCCAATGCCCTCAGGCTAAAGCCCTACTGGAGTTTACCAAAACTTCAGGACCAGCCCTGCTTACCTGGCCTTGCTCATCTCCTCCTCATGTTCTCTCCTGCGTCTTTCCCCTCAGATGTCACTTCTTCAGGGATGCATTTTCTGAATGTCTCTCTCCATCTCTGCTCCCCGCCCCCACACACACCTAGTCCAGAGTGAGTACATGGACTCATAAGCACCTTATATTTGTCCTCATACAACCCCCTTCTCACACCATACTGAAAATTGCCCATTCCTACCTGTCTCTCCCACAGAATGCAAATGCCACCAGGAAAGGGTCTTTCCCACCCTGTTCACGGAGCTCAGGAAATAGTCATTGATGAATTACTGAAAGCCTGCCTTCACAAAAGGGATCTCATAGGTGGAACTACTGATCCCACTGGAAATTATTCTTGGCTCCTCCATGAAAAAAAAATAATTTTTTCCTTCTCTTTTTTTTTAATACCATAAAAAACAAACAAACTTTCTATATCAAGGACACATTATTCTGAAGCAAAGCTTAACCCCAGAAATATCTAAAACAATGCCCTGTGCATAGAACAAAATTAAACATTTGAGAAACACACTTAACAGAGCAAGCAAACCAAAATCATGTTTCTGTGGGAAAATAGGAATATACAAACATTTTCAAACTCAAATGTATTTAGGATGACACAAACTATTCAGTTAGTTCCTGACAATCAATTCCTGCATTCATTAACATTTGCATACTTATTCCTTTCTTCCTCACAGTGATTACTCACCAAATCTAGTAATCTTTCCTTTGCACTATCTGAACCTTTCCCCTCAACCTAGCCCTAAGCACAGCTTGGGTTCTCCTTAGTTGTTCCCTGACCATCGCTAGCCCTATATAAATCACTCAGTGCCTTCATAGTACCCTACCAAAATATCTTAGTAAAACAGGTAATGATAGTTACCTGTCATTCTGCCAATATACTTCTACTATTTTTACACTATTTTTGGATTTATTAATTTTGCCTGTCTTCTTACTTCCTGCTATGATGAACATTTAGTTCACTTATTTCTGTCCTTCCAATATATGTATATATTTTTTAGTTCCTCTCTTGGTAATTACTATTAATTGAGTAACATGCTAATAACCCTATTTCTTATTCCATCAACTACAGACATTCCCTTCTGACTCTGCTCCCCGGTATTTCTTCAGCTCTTATCAATCCCTATTTTTCCTACTTTCTATAAACACTGCCTTTGCTAAACCCCTTGCTGGAAGATCTTTTGCCCACCACCAAAGTTCTTCCCATCCTTGTTAGTTCATTTTTCCACATTCCATTCTTCCAGGACCCAATCCAAGTTTCTATAAAGAGGGAAAACCTCAGCATCTATCAGTACATAGTGATAACTCCCTCCTTGAATTTCTGGGCATTTACTAGTTTTTCTGTTACGTATGTTGTGCTATTTTTTCTTTGCACTTGTAGTTAACTCTTAATGTGTGTGAGGAATGTTTTCCCAACTAGACTGAAATTCCTGCCGTGGCATTTCATAATCTACGTGTTACACAGTGCGGTGACTTGCATATATTGGAGAGTCTCTGTTTATTAATTAATGGTTAAAATAAAAGCCTCTTATTAAAACTCCCCAAAAGCGGAGATTCAACTATGGTCTTAGTGACCCAGTCTGGAAGATCAGATTACTTCAGAAAAGTCGCACAGGCCTGGATACAAACAAAATATCCAAAGAAGGCGCATGTCAAAGTGAACATACAAAAACTTCATTATGGAAGACACCTGATTAGAACTCTTCATCTGAAGACAAATGTCCAATTCACAGGGTGTGTCTAAGCAGCCCACTAAAAGAAAAAAACACAGGCATCCCTTTCTAAGACATCCTACTGGCTCCCTGGTCTTCACTTCAGGAAGAAAGGAGCCCTAGGTGAGCTCTAAGCAGCTGGGGTTCCCCAGCCGAGTTCAGGGCAGCTGAGGGAGGATCGCCGGAGGCTGGGCCAGCAGGACCGGCAGGGCGGAGGCTTGCCAGGCCGACTCCTTCCAGGGCAGGGCAGAACCTGCGAAAGGGCAGGTGAAGTCGCCAGAGTGTGGGCTTCCCAAACACGGGCAATGCGGGAAGGAGAGGGGCGTCCACCGCAGGATGGGCAGACTGCGCGCTGCCACCCGGCCCAGCGGCAGGTAGGTCGCGCCCGCCAGCCTCCCGGTGTCACGCGGGACGGGGTGAGAAAGGTCGCCCGGGCTTTTCCCAGCGCCGCGGCGGTTGCGGGGCGGTAACCTACCCGGGTGCCATTTCAGGGCCAGCTTCCGATAGGCCTTCTTGAGCTCCTCCTCGCTGGCGTCGCGCCGCACCCCCAGCGCCTCGTAGTGACACTTCATGGCCGGGCCCGGCAGGGGGTTGTGGCAGGGGCCGGGACCCGGGCCCGGACCCGAGCGGCGGCGGCGGCGCTGGTTGTCCTCTCCTCCGGCGGGAGCCCGGCGCCCGCACCCAGCCAGCCAGCGAGCGTGGCGGCGGCGGCGGCAGCGGCGCGGGGCAGCGGAGGCGCGCGGCGGCGGTAGGCGACGCGGGCTGCGGCACGCGGACGCGCAGAGGGGGCGGCGCCGGCGGCCGCGGCTCCGCATGGGCGGGGGCTGGGCTCTATTCCGGGAAGAGCCGCGGGGAGGGAGGCGGGGCTTCGTAGGGGCTCTGAAGGAGTGGGAGGCGGGGCCTCCGGGCAGTAGGCGGGGCCACGGCGGGTGTCATTGTGAGCGGCACAAACCGCAGACGGTGAGTGACACTGACTGGACAGCCCGCTTGAGGGCTGAGGCGGGAGGGAGACAAGGTTGGTATGGGAAGGATTCTCGAAAATATCATGGGGTTCAGATTATTTCTCAACTAAGTCCCCTTTGTAATAGATGAGGCAAATGGGGCTCCACTAGTCAAGTGGTTGGCTCAAGTCTCCTCTATGTAATGGCAGGATTCATTGAACTACATTCACTTCTTGGCAGCTGCCACTTGGTAAAACCTATGCTACCACTCACTTTGATCAATATACATGAGAAATGACATTAAAGAAGACTGTATAAATCAGCTTATCAAACAATTTAAGAAGAAAACATCAACACATTTAAAATAACCAATACACATGGAATTGTGCTTATCTATCCATCCATTACTTTAATCCTGTCTGGCTTCATCCTACTTGCCAGATTGGTTTAGATTAAGAAAGCAATTATGGGATAATTTTTAATCAACAAGGTTTGGGTTATCTGACTAGCTTAACTGCTCTGCATTGATGGAAGATCTGTAAAAAAATATTCCAATAAGGTTTGAAGAAACATGGGACCTTTCCCCTCCTGTGAATGGATTTGGTGGGAGAGGTTCTTTTTATTCCCACTATATCTGCCTTCATGTACAAAATCTGGAAGTCACTTGCTTTTTTTTCCCTTCTGAGACCTATTTTTGCCTATAACAATGTTTAGAAATTTTAAAGACAATGACCCTGAATATAAATTTCAGTCTTAAGAAAATAATAGATTAACTTCTAAATGAACATGGATTTGGGAGATGATCCATTCCAGAGTTCACTCAGATAAAGTATCCATATAAATGATTGTGAAAATTTGGGGCATAAAAACATTTTCATATGGAAATTGATCATTTACAAATATGAGGTTGGACATTCTACCTGAACTCCACAATGCATCTCTCAAAAAGGTGTCTTCAAACTGGCAAATTGTTAGTTTGTTTTAAGATCAACCTTTTTCTGAGATGTGGGTGTCTAACAATCCTGAATAGTCTGTCTCATTTTTTTAATCCAAGGCTATCCATAATTGCCTAAATAAACCAATGGCCACCTTGTTTTTTGCATTTAACTAGATTTGGACTTAATTAACCACAGAAGTGAACCTCTGAACTGAATTACTTGTACAACTAGTCTAATTTAGACTATTTCAAGATAAGTAACATAGTTAACATACAACTAAGATCTTTAGCAGAAAATTAAAAATTAAATAATGGAAGATTAATAGTTCTTTCCAAAGATTCAAAATAAGACATAATGAAAATGTAATATAGGACAGAAGTCTAAAATAACTTTACTATATAAGAACTTTTAGAAATCTGTAGAAGATAATCTTACTACAGAAAAACAAGTCTAGTCACAAAAGAAAAACTAACTTTTAAAACCAAACCTTTTTTTTCTGACATTATCTCACCACTGGCAAAAGATGCAATGAAATGAATGTTCTATCAAGCAAAATATTGTTTAAAATGTTTGACTTGAGTCCCATTTCTAAAAAACCATCACTTAAAGTGTAGAACTGTAAGCACCTGAATCAGAAAAAGTAATAAAACTGAAATATTCAACAATAAGGGGTCAACCATACTTATCAGATTATATAGCTGTGGTATAAAGTACAAGTATGCAGCTAGGAAACACATAAACATGGGAAAATGACCAATGTGAAGCCAATAAATAGATGACAGCATGTACATGACTCAATTTTATAAAATGTATATGTATTATAAATATTTCTATCTGTCCCATGGTCACTGGAAGACTCTTTTTTCCCATTACTAATCTGTCTCTAAGATCTTAAGCCCAGAAATGTTCTGGTACTTGACTTTTTCTTCTTTTTGTTTTTTGCAGTTCAGGGGATTGAATCCAGAGGCAGTCTACCACTGCATCCCAGTCTTTTTTATTTTGAGATGGGGTCTAAGTTGGTAAGGTTTGTCTCTAATTTGCGATCCTCCTGCTTCAGCCTCCCAAATTGCTTGGATTACAGGCATGTACTACCACACCCAGCAAGACTAGGTTTTAAAAATAATCTATACCTATTGCTTCTAAAACAAAATTGTAGTATACAAAGTGCTTTCAACATAGGTATTAACTCATTTGATTCTCAAAACTTAAAAATTTTAATGAATTCTCTTTTGAGGAGAGAAAAAGATCAGAGGTTAATTTTTCCAAGGTTTCATTAATTGGTGACTCTAGGAGCCAAAGCTCAGTTAAGATGCTTTGCTATCTACCAGGGTATCCCTATTTTACTACTTAGCAACTATGCTCCCAAAGAGCCCAAAGCCTTTGTATGTAGTAAGAACCCAATAAATAAATTGAATTTCAGTGTTGCTAAACTAAAAATTCTAACCCAAGAAAACAATCCTAAACCACTGAGCATACTAAGTTTTTAGTAATATCAAATAAGCTGACAAGAAAAACAAAAGTTAACTGATGAGTTCTGGTGATATTTTATTTGGAAAATGATAAGCATCACTGATTTTTAAGATTTTTTTCTTTTAAATGGTACACTAATTAGACAAAAGGTAGTCCTAGATAAAAGTATTTACATACTCAATACAAAATAAATACACAACAACTGAAAAACAAATCTTTATCCATTGATTCATTTTGCATTCCCACTGTTCACCTTCTGGTTCATTTTTCTTTGCCTTTTGTAAATCCTTTTTTTTCTTGCTTTCAAATCGACTTTTGGCTCTGGTTTTACCCACTGTATTTCTATTGGTTTTTTCTCAGCTGGTGTAACAAAAACATCTTCAGTGGGATCATGTGGAAGAACAGTCTTTGGCTCTTTCTTTCGCAGTTTCTGCACATCTTTCACTTGCTGTTTCTCTTTGTATTTTGCAGCTGTGATAGATCTTATGATACGCCGATGCTAGAAACAACAAAGATTAGGTGGTTTTGTAATAAACATTTTATATAAGGCAGACATTCACTTAGGAACTCTGTTCCTTCACCAGTGTCATGAGAAAAGGTAGTAATTCACAGGTATATACATAACAAAAACCAAAACTGGTTTCACAGTTTTAATAATTACTTTAAGAAATTATTTTGGTCACAGAGTTCTGGTACACTGAAGACCACTAAACAACAACAAAAAAGCTTACCATGTTTGGTGACTGGTAGTGAGGATTTTCATATAAAGTTGGTCCTCCAAAACTTCCTTGAAAAATCTTTATAAGATTCAAGACAAAACGAGGTCCTATTTCTACAAGAGCAGCATCTTCTTCTATGATCTTTAACAGAAGGGAAAGATTCGTTTTGGTTTGGATATACAACTCAAAACTGGATATACCCTCATTACAAATGTGCTAAAACAACTGATATTCAGTAAAATTAAGGTAGAGACATGGAGAAAACTCGGCAAGTGCCAAATCATCAATATTTTCTGAATCTATTACTAGTTACAGGAGGTTGTTCTGGAAAAATACATATGTTTTCTCAATATGATCTTTAAAAATTGACTAATCTGCTGGAAGCAGTGACATGCCTATAATCTCATCGGCCCAGGAGGCTGAGGCAGAAGGATCACAAGTTCAAAGCCAGCCCAATGCAACTTACCAAGACCCTGTCTCAAAAACAAAACAATGATAAAAAAAAACAACACCTGGGGATAGGGCTCAGTGGTTAAGCACCTCTGGGTTTAAACATAATACCAAAAAAAGAAAAAAAAAAAAAAATTGACTAATCTGAATTTGTTTCACATCTTGCTTCTCACAAACATTAACACTGTATGTTGGTTCAGGTATGTCTGCCCTCAGAGGTTAAGAATGGAATATATTTAATTCATATTGCAAGGAGTCTTATATAAAACACACAGGTAAGAGTCCATATGCTGTTTCAAATTTTGTACTTGCTGCTGTCATTCACTTCTCCATCTTTCTGCAGACTTATTCTACCAAATTTCTGCTTCAAGATTTCAAGAATCACCTCTTCTGAATGAGTCACAGTGTGACTCATCTAATAGTTCTCATTGAATGCTTTCTACAGAAGTCATGTTTGTCTGTCTTATCTCCTCCTTGCCCCTGGAGAGATAGTAACCTTTGGAAGAAAAACATATTTTCTTGTATTCTTTACATAAATTCTTTAGCAAAAATTTGGAACCCTAATTACACCAGAGATTTTCCTTTTTTTTAATGCAGTACTGGGTATTGAACTCAGGTGCACTCGGCCACTGAGCCACCTCCCCAGCCTTATTTTGTATTTTATTTAGAGACAGGGTCTCACTGAGTTGCTTAGCGCCTCACTTTTTTGCTGAGGCTGACTTTGAACTTGTGATCCTCCTGTCTTGGCCTCCCAAGCCACTGGGATTATAGGTGTGTGCCACTGCACCCAGCAAGATTTTCCTTTTTATAAAAATGAAACATACCATGGCTTGTGAACAAACCTGCACTCCATATTAACTCATGACCATGAAAAGACGAAGACAGAGATCACTTAAAATATGAGTAATAGACAATTATTTATTTGCAGTAAACCTCTGAGAAGGAAATAAGACTATTTAAAACAAAAGGACTTACAGGTTGCATTTTCTATGTCTACAAATAATCCCACATACCTTACTTAAATCTGTAATTTAAAAGCAAAGTAAAGCTAACCTGAAAGTTCCGAAACCATATTCTGTTATCCAAAATGGTGAAAGTAAACACATGGTCCACAAATGGTTGGCTTTTGGGATGATATCTGGGTGTACTAAAAATCTAGTTAAAAAAAAAAAAAAAAAACACACACATTAATTACTTATCACAAGGCGTTTATGAATTTTTTTTGAGGGAGAATTTTTTAATATTTATTCTTTAGTTTCCAGTGAACACAACATCTTTATTTGTATGTGGTGCTGAGGATCGAACCCAGCGCCGCGCGCATGTCAAGCGAGCGCACTACCGCTTGAGCCACATCCCCAGCCCTTTATAAATGTTTTTGATAAGTAAGTTAATAAAAAGTCTAAAGGAAGACCTTATCTCAGAAGGCTGAGAATCAAAAGTTCATCACCAACCTGGGCAACTTATAAAAAGACTAGGCATCTTGGTAGTAGAGCTGCCCTGGATTCAATCCCTAGTATCAGACACTCATACAAAAAAGTCCAAAGGAAGACAGTCACTTCTTACTAAAAATGCTTTCTAGGAAAGATATTTACCTGAATTAAGAGTTCTTTTAACAATGAATAGTGTGACAATTCATCGAAAGCCTACAAAAATGAAAAGAACATATTATTTGACAGTAGTAGAATGCATAACTTAAAATTGTTCTTTATATTAACTAAACCTAATTATATACACAACTATATCTACTAAAAAACAGCTATGCAAAAAAGAAAATCAGACACTGTATGAGAAACTTACAGGGTCAAAAGACAAAAGGGGCCGAGAACCTTTCAAACAATTTCCTGTCAGCTTTAATTCAGCCAGGGTATGAACTAGAAAAATTAAAACAAAAACAAAAATAGTTGTAACTTTGACTCAATTATTCCAAATGATTATTAATTTTTTCTTTAAAAAATAAAACTGAGTTAACTTACTGTTTTGAACAAGGAATTTGGCAGATGGCCCATGAGGTGAATTTGAAAGCCTGGAATATATGAGGAAAACTTTTAGAATTTAGAATATAGTATATGCTTACCACCTATTCACGAAGATACCATAATATGCTTATTGAAATATTAAATTTTCTTTAAAGGCTTCAAATTTTGTGAAATCAAATGAGTTTGCTTCATTCTCCCCTCTTTTACATAAAAAACTGAAAGGATTCTATTACATACGAGGTACAAAGAGAAGCCCATTTAAGTTCAATGCAAATCTTAATAATCCTCTTACCACATATAGAGATCCTGTTTTTTCTTAGCTTCAAAATAGATGCATTTATTGCAGTTTTTCATTTCACAGACCTAAATGAAGCAAAGTACAGAAAAATGTATATGATACAAGTGAGAATGTAATTAGTGCAATTCAAACAAATTTCTCCAAAAACATTTAAGCAAATTAATAGGCCCCAAGGTCTACACCTAGGTGAATTTATTCTTTCCAGAAATATTTAAAGTTCCTCTTGGGTAGGATATCTCAAGAGTTTTCTGAGCAACTCTTTGGTAGACGTATCTATCCTACTCTGTTTGGCCTAGCATTTTAAAGCAACTGGTCTCACTTTTGATTATTGGTACTTCTTCCAACCATAGTCCTATTTCCAAATACAAAGACTGAAAATAAATGCCCTAAAGATAAGGCACACCACAATTAAACGCATCAATCTTATGAATATACCATCCTTACAGAATCAATGCTTTTATAGTGGTTATTTTATCCTCAACTTCTTAGGTTTTTTATTTTAAATTCATAAAATTCAAGTTTTTCCTCCTCATTTATACTTATCACATTTCTTGATGATCTTGTTCTATAAAATCATTATAGGATTGGTGAAAAGCAAAACCATGTAAAACCTACTCCAAGTTGAACTGTACTTCAACATCTTGAAGGTTTACAAAGTAACCCTTAAGGAAATACACAAAACACAAGAGCAAACTCTTGTATTATGTTGATACACATAAACTCAAGCTATCCCATATGATATTCATAAATTACTCGAGACTTTAAACCTAGCAACTTTAAAAAAATATTAGGCCCAATGCTTTTGTATCATAAAATTACTGGTCTCCAAATAAATAACATTAAGTTTGTGCCACTTCTAGGCCTCTGGACTTGTTTTTTTTTCTACATAGCATGTTCTTCCACAAATATTTCTACTTAAGACTCTACCAAATATTAAGTTGAACAGCATTCCTTCAGAAAGGCCTTTCCAGTTTAGCTAAGTTGCCAAAAACCCATATGTTGCTTTACTTCTATCTCCTTGAAAATTATAAATTTTCTCTTCCCTCTTTGAAATTATAAATTTTGTTTATGGCCCACCTTGTTAGAATGTAAGCTCCACAACAGCAGGGGTAGTATTTTGGTAAACAATGATTCCGTAGTACACAGAATAATATTAGAGCAGAGATTTAAAAATTTGTGCTAAATGAGTAAATAAAAGAAGCTTTCTAGTAAAAGAACTATCTTAAAACAATTATTTTGAAAACTATTCTTTCAAATACAGGTTTAATATCTTCAATAATATTTTAACCTACTACTAGTTTATACTATTTAAGAACAAATCTCACATATATCACTTTTTTGGCACGATTATTTTTATAATGTGGATTTTCTATAAATATTCAGTGACTTTTATTTTATACAGATTGGTTGATAATTTTTATGAATATCTACTATGAATTTTGTACAATATAGACATTATGAAAGAAAGCAAATGAGGTATCTTTGTCTTCAGGAAATTTCAATATGCTTGTTGAGACACAATAAACACAGAATTCAGAAATAATATATACCGAAGCACTAAAATGTGAGATATAGGAAGTACTATAAAAACATAACAGGTTACTGAAGTGTAAAAATTTGAATATTCTCATAAAACAAGTTTAAAGTCATCAAATAATTGACTTATATTTTAATAAGGCATCGTTAAACTTTCTAAAATATTTTGCTATAGTTTCTAAACTTACCTCGTTAATCACAAATAACTTATCTTTACGATCCATTTTAGTATCTATAAAAAGAAAAAAAATAAGTAAATGAAAGATTTCAAAGCTATTTCAATAAATTCACATATTACCTAGGAAACAATTTCTGGTGTTTTTGTACTGTTTGGCAAAGAGATTTTCACAATTAATTTTCAAAATAATCAGACCCGAGAATAAACAACCTTTGATTGATTCCTTTTAAGTGTAAAGAAAACAAGTAATTAAAAACTAGACCTCAAGAATCATTAACAGTGTTTTAAGCAGTTTCTCAGGCTCTAGGTACAGTCATCCCTCTGTATCCAAGTAGGACTGGTCTATATCCAAGGACGATTGATTACAGGACCCAGTGCACATACTAAAATCTATAGATGCTCAAGTTCCTTATATAAAACCATGTAGCCAACTGTATAAAACCTAGGCACATCCTCTTGTATACCTGAAATCATCTCCAGATTACCTATAATACCTAATGCAATGTAAAAGCTATATTAATAGTTGTTATCCTATATTGTTTAGGAAATAGTGACATAAAAAAAGTCTGAGTATATTCAGTAGTTTTTTCCCTGAATATTTTCATTCTGCAGTTAGTTGAATCTACAAATGGAGAAGCCAGGGGTCCAGATGGTTATATTCTATGAACCCTTTTCAAAAATGGGAAAATTCCCAAACTGAAGATTATATCCCAAGGAGCCATTCAAGAAAACATTCACTTAAGAGAGCAAAAATATTAACCAATGACAATATCTTTTAATATCAAGTCACACTTGTCAAAGAAAACTTTTAAAAAATGATTTTGGATTATCATAGAAAAATTATACAAATTAAAATTTCTCTTATTAGTTTCAGAGATATGAAGACATTAAAGCCTACCCCAGTTTAAGTAGCACTGGTATAAAGGACCAAGCTATTAGCTAGAATTAAAACCAAAAGCATCTCCCAACACAGACACAAAGCATTGTAATGAAGACATTCCTAGACTGTTTTGAAAAATGTTTCAATGTTAGGGTACCTATGTAAGAAAGTGAACATCTATTGATTTCTATAAAGATTCTTATGAAATATTCATTTAATAAATTGTGTTACTTGAGGATACACTTTTGAGGTACTCTCATTCTCTGTTTAACCAGATGAACAAATGAAGAGAAAATACATAAATAACTGTAAATATATAAATATGCAAGTTTATAAATACAATTTCTTAAAATACTTGCTATAAAGGCACCTGCTTTAGAATGAGGCATCAACATTCTCAAGTCCTGCATTAAATGTCTTGTTCTGAAATTTATTCCTCTAGAAGAAAAAATGAGAATCCGTTCCTTATTCTTCCATTTGCCCTAAAGAAAAACAAAATGTTAAAAGATCTTAAATCTTGTACTGAACCTATATATATATATTTTTTTTGGGGGGGGGGGGGGGGACCAGAGATTGTGCCTAAGGTTGCTTAATCACTGAACCACATTTCCAGCTCTTTTCCGTTTTATTTATTTTTGTTTGTTTGTTTTATGTTTAAATTTGAGTTAGGGTCTCACTAAATCCTTAGAACCTCACTAAGTTTCTGAGGCTGATCTCTAACCTGTGATCTTCCTGCCTCAGCCTGTGGAGTCTTGCCGGGATTACAGGCACAGAGCCACTGCCCCCAGCATCTTGTTTTTTAAAGATAGTTTTAAAAGCTTCCAGAGCTGGGTATGATGGTGCATGCCTGTAGCTTCAGTTACTGAGGAGGTCAGGGCAGAAGATCACTTGAGTCCAACAGTTAGTGATCAGCCTGGGCAACAAAGTGAAACTCCGTTTCAAAAACAAAAAACAAATTAAAAATAGTAAGCCAAACATTCGCAACTCTTTTTTTTCAATCTCTTAATAACATTTACTGAGCACATCTGCTACCCAGAAATGCCCTCCTTCTTTCTTTACTTTTCTGTTCTTCATTTTCATTCTTTTCAATTCCTCCTCCCAAAATTCTAAAGTTTTTGTTTTTCTCAGTCTCCTTTTTTGTTAAATTGTTTTTCTCTCCATTGGAGAACTTATTCTTATATTCTCTACAGAAAGGAACTCTCTTTTGCCCTAATAACCCAAGTATTTGACTAAAGCCTAAAACTCAACTCGCAATACTATAATGTCTTATCCCTTAAATCTAGTAAACTTGGTTGCCATTTCTTTTTTTGATGTTATCATCATTTCAATCCCCCAGACTCTGAACCTTCCATTTGCACTTATTTTCTTATATTATCAGCATTGCTGAATGCTGTTAATTTCTCTTTGCAACAGATCTTAATTCTTTTCTCATTTACAGTGTCCTTACTTAGATCCTTTTAACCTTGTATGAAGGGCAAATCTCCTAAATGGCTAACCTTCCCAGAAACAAGTTCCTCCAATAGATATGGCAGACTAGCCAGTTCAAAACACTGTTGGAATCACAATCTCATCTCCCAGAGTTTTCCAAATTGAAAATGACATAGCTTTAAAGTTGTATTTTAAAATAAACTTTCACTTTTTACAACCAGTATCAATCCTACACTTCAATCTGGTTCTGCTTTTAGATTTTCAGTATTTCCCACTTCAACACCTTTGGCTAGTTCTTTTTTCTTTCCCTTGGACTGTTCCCTTTCATTTTGAACATCAAAATCCTACACTTTAAGATGGGCACAGTTGTGCAAGTCAGTAATCTCAGCAGCTTGGGAGGCTGAGGCAGGAGGAGTTCAAAGCCAGCCTCAGCAAAAGCAAGGTGCTAAGCAACTCATCGTGAGACCCTGTCTTAGGGCTGGGGATGTGGCTCAGTGGTCAAGTGCCGCTGAGTTCAATCCCTGGTACCCCCCCAAAATCAAAGAAACAAAACAAAACAAAAAACGTTACCCTTTAAGATCCAATTCAACATTAAGTCTCATAATTTCTATCTTATTATCCTAGGATAAAAATAAGCTCTAGCTCCAGTGTTTCACACAATGCATAACTCAAGGCCATAGATTCTTTCATATTTCTTTCCAGCTCCTTAAAGGAAGAGTGAGAGTACTAACATTTACTGAAAATCTACCAGATTTTTCTCTGGCTTATTTTTCCCAAAAAGTCTTTTCATCCTCTGAAACGGGCAGATAACAGCACAGGATGTCACTGTCTACTAATAGGGAGGGGCTATTAATTCACACTCCTCTTTCATTCCTTACAGTCACTCTTTTCCCAGAGCTTGCCATCATACCACACAGGGTCAGGGCTTGAGTACTCTGCTAGGTGCAGAAAACACTGAAACTAATAAAGACAATCCTTGTCTCCACAATATTCCACCTGGCTCAAGGAGCTTTCAGTTGAATGAAAGTTAACTCCAACTAGAACTTGTGCTCATTTTCCTTTAAATAAAATCTATCAATTTCTATGAATTCTTAATTTCCTTTTAAATTCCAAAATTTCAGGAAAAGGTCACGTTCTAGTCATCTTTGCAATATCAAATGCCAGGGGAAGCCTACCTCGTACACTACAAGGCACATTAAAAGTTTGTGAAAGGCCAGCGGGTGGCGCCTGTCTGTAATCTCAGCGGCTCCGGAGGCTGAGTTGAAACCCAGCCTAGGTAACTCCGTGAGACCAAAAACGGGCGGTGATGGCTGGGGACATACTGATCAATGGTTCAGCACCCCTGGGTTCCATCCCTGGTACCAAAATAAAAAGTTTGTTGAACACAGACAAAACTCATGCTATCTATCCTAATTTTCATTCCTGAATTAAACACCTGTTCAAATAAGTCCGAGTCAATCCCCAGAAAAACATCCCAGTTTAGATAACACGCTTCAGGATCCCTGAATAACACTGGCTGACTATTGCGGATATGAAAATACCAACCACAGGAAAATATATTCCCTATAGCAAGAAATAAATAAGGAAAAGCATTTTGCTAGAAAAAGCCTGAGTAACTGGAAAACAGAATGCTAAAACTGAGCAGAAATCTACAGACTGCCGCCTCCGGGAAGACGGCCACGTGCGCCAGGATTAGAAGTAAACAATGCCCAGTTCAGCCCAGCGGACCGTTGAGACCGCTCCGGGGTAAAACTCGGGATACTCCGGAAACAGCAGAACTGTAGTTAGCCCCAAAGAAGGCGCATGGAGCCGCCCTCGCAGGTGTAACTCCGGAGCAGCTCTTCTACCTTGCAAACGGGACCTGGGATACGGTCTTTCTCTTCTTCCTCCACCTCTTCTGCCTTGACGGGCGACTTTGATAAAGATTTGGCATCTTTTTCGTTTCTTTTTGGCTTCTTTGCCTGAACCGCCAAATCCCCACGCCGTTTCCTCTTGGTTGCCACCATCTTGCCTCACCGCCGTAGCTCTACTTCCGGGCCGGCCGCTCGCTCCTTTTTCCGGTCTCTATGTTACCATGCGCTGGGCTCTGCAGTCCTATTCCACTCTATGGTGCCTCTTTCCGGTCTCGGCTTTCTAGGCCTCCTTCAGCTCTGTGGTGACGGTGGCCGAGGTGTCAAGCGGATCTGAAGAGTGGCGGGATTCCCTTTTCTTCCTTCGTGGTTTCCTGGCTGGGAAGAGCTCTCAGGCGCCTGACCTACCGCAAAGGTAGGATTTCGGTGCCGTGGGCTTTCTCCACTAGTGAGGGGCGGGTGTTCTGTGGGTTGGTGAATGGGGTGACGGGTTTTTGGAGAGTCTTCGGAGGCTGACGCTCGGCGGCTGGCTCTAAACAAGCTCTGTGGGTATATCCGGGTTTGACTGTGGAACCGACCCCAAATGCAGTTACTGTATCCGTTGTTTATTTCATGGTTTGCAACTTTTCAAATATCTCTGGCCCCATACCGAAGACGAGGAGACCGTAGCTCTGAGAGATTAGTAATTCCCCCCGCCCCGCCACCCAGGTAAGGGACGGTTTAGTGGCGGAGGCGGGGCTCAGCCTGATCCGTCGAGTTGAGCTCCGGGGGCCCTTCCAGCCCGCACCAGCGTGGCTAGGGATCGCCAGGCCTTACCTGCGCTGACGCGGCTTACTGTTGACTCTCTCAGGTGTTTCCTGATCCTCGGGTGCAGTGTCGGCCCCAGCATCAAGAGCTTACCCTCGGGGCCGAATGAGCAGTGGACCATGCCCCTCCTAACCCAACAGATCCAAGATGAGAATGAGAACAGCTTAGTGGCCAGCCTTGACAACGTCAGGAATCTCTCTACTATCTTGAAAGCTATTCATTTCAAAGACTTTGCCACATGTTTCGCTACTAAAAATGGAATCAAGGTTACAGTGGAAAATGCAAAGTGTGTGCAAGCAAATGCTTTTATTCAGGTATGGGAAAAAGGCACCTGTGAAGCCTGTGACATACTCTTCACCCAGTTTAATGAATTCAGAAAGTCTCACTAGACAAAATTCAAGTAGAGAACAAAATGTCATTATTTTATTTTTTTTTTAAATCTTCTGGTAACAAATTCTTTTCCTATCTTGTCTTTCAGAGATAATGGTTAATAGTGACTGGTTTATTAATCTAAACTATAGGACACTCTCTTCTAAGTATTTAACTCCTTTAATCCTCACAATACACCTATATAAGGTAGGCTTTGTTATTATTCCCATTTTAAATACATGGAAACTGAGGCACAATAAAAGCAGTTTACCAGAGTCTTATAGCTGGTAAGTAGCTGATTTGGGATGAAAATGTTTTTTGTTCTTTACTATTACATTATTATTACCTCCCTATTATTAAAAGATTTTTTTTACTTTTATTGGTGATAACACAATCTGTCCTTAAAAAGTAATAATTATATGGATCAGATTCAGTTCAGCATGTTTCTGAACACTGAAGTGCACAGTATGGCCTCAGAGATGGAGAAATAAATAAGATATGGTTCCCCAAAAGATACTGAAAACTAATGCATATGTTATAAAATTATCTATTTTCCAAGTGATCTTACCCATGCTGATAAACAGGAAAAGAAGACAAAGGAACAGGAGATAGGTTTTGATCCAGGAATGGAAATGAAGGACCCATCACAAGGCTTTGCCATGGGATCTGTATCACTGTTACACCTTTGATATTAAGCTATCCAGTAGTGGTCTAATAGGTATAACTGAGAAAACTAAGATGTTCTCCTTAGTAATCAAAAATCCTCATGGCATTAGCACAATATTGTAATTTTTAAAACATTTAAAGTGAAAACTAGAATCTACCTCATATTTCATTCTTTAATATAACTCCATTTTCATGTTTATTCTTTGTAGGCTGAAATATTTCAAGAGTTTGTGGTTCAGGAAGAGTCTATTACTTTTCGAATTAATTTAACAGTCCTTTTGGACTGCTTATCTATTTTTGGATCAAGTCCTATGCCAGGTGAACCATTTCATTTGTCCTTATAAAAACATAAAATATTATACAGAATGATCAGAAAAATATAAGTTCTTTAGAATATACATAATCATTGTTTTTTTAGAAAATTAGTTGGCAATACATTTTTCAATGGTCACAATCATCCATTAAGACTTATTCCAATATTAAGTGACTTTTCATTCAGTAAGGAGAAAAAGCTAAACTGTCTTATCATATTTCTCCTTTAATGGTTTTGAATACCAAAATTCATACCATCATTAGTCACGCTCTTTTCTCCCAATTTCCTCTTAAAATTTGAAGAAATGTAAAGACTATCTCCCAGTAGTAGTTGGAAGAATTCTTAAGAGTGAATACACTGACATTATAAGTACAGACATTAAAGTAATGCACTGTTGCTGAAATTGAACCTTCAAGAAATAGCATAGCCTATACTGCAACACAAATTGTGTTACTTGTCAAGTTAGTCCATGGGTAGATTCTCTGTCCTGAAATGGGTGTGTGTGTTTGTGCATATGATCAGTGAGCTATTTCTGAGGTATTTTGGGCAAGCTAATATTGATTTCAGAAAGTTAATTTTGCTCTGGTTCCCAATCTTGAAATTTTTCAGATTATAATTTCTTTTAAGGAGATACGCGTATGATAGAAATTTGGCAGAATAAATCAGAAAATATTCTTAAGGAATTTAGTCTGTCATTTGGAGGAGAAGCTGAACACAGAGCCATAAAGACAAACCAAGTATGATTTCTTTCTGTTGCAGGGACTTTAACTGCACTTCGAATGTGTTACCAAGGCTATGGTCACCCTTTGATGTTATTTCTGGAAGAGGGAGGAGTGGTAACGGTCTGCAAAATCAATACTCAGGAGCCCGAGGAGACTCTTGATTTTGATTTCTGTAGCACCAATGTTATTAATAAAATTATTCTGCAGTCAGAAGGGCTCCGTGAAGCATTTTCTGAATTGGATATGACAAGTGAGGTCCTCCAAATCACCATGTCTCCTGATAAGCCATATTTCAGGTACTTGAGAGAAGTTATGGTTCATGTGGTCTGTATTTCCTTTCTCCATTTACACATTGCTGAGGTTGCAGAATTTTTATTACCCAAGTTCCTAGAACTTCCAGAACTTTAGGGAACTGTTGTTCTTCCCTCATAATTTTAGACCTTTAGAAACTTAAGACCTAAGAAGTTAGGATTTCATATTTGGTTGTGTTGGTTTATAGATGAAAAGCTGACTCTCTTAATCCATAATCTAGTGGCCTTTTCATTATGTTACTATTTACTGTTGTAGATTAGACCACAACATGAGGGAAACTGGGTCTAAATATTTGGAAAATGTATTTGTATTATATGGTATTTTTTCTCTTTTTAGTGCAGGATGCAAAAGAAAATAGATATTTCTGATATATGGTTTATTTACTCAGTATCTGTTGAGTACTTAACATATACATATCTCTTTTAAGATTATGGGAGTAACGGCTTAAAATTAAGGTAAAGAGAAAATGTGTCAAACAACAGAGAAAGAACAAAACTGCAGACCACTGAGTACCAAAATAATATTAAAAAATGCTTGAGTAAATAGCACATGAATATACCACTCAGAGAGCAATGGCCAAGGTAATTTCCAGCAGGAATACAATGTTAAAATGATAAAGCTGCCCCAAAATATTTATTCTCTTTTAAAACATTTCAGAATATTGAAGAGTAAAAGAACTAAATCCAAATGGAATAAAAGGTATACGCTCTTTTTGTGTCAAGTTTCAAAGAATCACAGGTCCTTTTAGTGGCATTAGGCAGATAAAAATTTGGCTTAAGCTATGTTAAAATGGTAACCAAAATGTTAATCATTGAAAGCCAGTTAACCAGTATGACAGAGGCTCCCCTTCTAAATAGCCTCTGTCTGCATGGGTAACTAGATGAATCATGGCATCTTTCATTGCCAGCGTGGGAAACAGTTTGTTAGTGGGGAGGTGGGTGTTAAAATTTTTGTTCTGGATATGTTAGAATTTGAGGTGCCTGTGACACTGCTGTACCAGCAGTACAGCACTCAGGAAATCAGTCTACACTGCAATTTAGATTTGAAAATCGTCGTCATTGCTGGAATGATGCCTAAGCACAAGACATTCAGAGAAAGGTTTTGTTAGAAAAAGATAGAAAAGATGGATCCTGGGAAAAGCAATATCGACAAGATGTGGAGTGGAGATGGAGCTTGGGGAAAACTTACATCGAGGTCTGATCACTGTGCTCATGTTGTACTTATCAATGTGCTGACCCATAGGAAATGCTGAACAAGTTTTACAAATTAAATCAACATATAAACATTTTAAATTGCCTAAATATAGCTGCAATGTTACCAAGGAAGGAAAGCCATAAAACTCTCAACAGCAGTCCAAGATGCAGAAAAACATTGTGACAATAAAGATTGGGAAATGGTACCCAAACATTGCAATTGATTTAGATCAAGGTCTTCCATCATACTCCATTTCTCATTTCTGTTATGTATTTCTAGGTTTACGGATAAGGAAAAGTCAGTGTCAGAGTAGGATGTATAGACTGATGTGACTGTCTTCAAATTAGTTATTAGTTGCAATTACCTGTACTCCCACAGCATCCTGTGGGAACCTTTATTATGATGCTTCTTAAAGTATGATATAAATATTTGTTATATATGTCTCTTTCACCGTAAGTATGAGCTGCTAGAGGAAATGATTTCTTTATTTGGATCTGAATGTTGCTTATTGTTGGACCAGTGAGTAAATGCTCATTTTCTACTATAGGTTATCTACTTTTGGAAATGCAGGAAGCTCCCACCTTGATTATCCCAAAGATTCTGATTTGATGGAAGCATTTCATTGTAATCAGACCCAGGTTAACAGGTCAGTTCCTAATATAGAGGTTGTTATTAGTGATAAAGATGAAATACTTGTTTATTTATTTATTTGTAGGGGGGTGGGGGTTTGAACCAGAGGCACTTTACCACTGAGGTATACTCCCAGCCCTTTTAATTTTTTTAGTTTGAGATAGGGTCTTGCTAAGTTGTTGAAGGGCTCATTTGGTTACTGAGGCGGACCTTGAACTTGCAATCCTCTTGCCTGAGCCTTTCAAATTGCTGGTTTTATAAGCTTGTGCCACTGTGCCCAGCTTAAATACCAAATTTCTATCAACAAAAAATACCTGACTTAGACACTGTTAATAAAATTGCATAGTATTTAAAAAAAACGAGTGAGAGGGGGTTGAATTTACTTGGAGGTTTGGAAGAATAAGTGTGGGTGAATAAAAATAACAAAATATTAGCAAACTGGATAAGTATTTGATTGAGGGGGTGGGTACCAGGGATTGAAGTCGGGGGCACTTGACCACTAAGCCACATCTCCAGCTCTATTTTATTTAGAGACAAGGTCTCACTGAGTGGCTTAATGCCTCATTTTTTTTTCCTGAGGCTGGCTTTGAACTCACCATCCTCTTGCCTCAGCCTCCTGAGCTTTTGGGATTACATATCTGTGCCATCATGCCTAACTAATGTTTAATTTTATTTTATATTTGTTACTTAGTAGTAGTTCTTGTTTAAATTTGTTCATTACTTAGAGTTAATGAAAACTATGTTAAGTGTATCCAAATAATAGCTTTTTATTTACTCTTTACAGATACAAGATTTCTTTACTGAAACCCTCTACCAAGGCATTAGTTTTATCTTGTAAGGTATCTATTCGGACAGATAACCGGGGATTCCTCTCATTACAGTACATGATTAGAAATGAAGATGGACAAATATGTTTTGTAGAATATTACTGTTGCCCTGATGAAGAAGTTCCTGAATCTTGAATATAAAAATTCAGTAGGTTTATGTGTATATTTAAGAAAGATTATGTTCTCATTTTGAGTACAATACTCATGATTTCTTGTTGGATTTTCTATAGGTCTCTGTAGGCTAACAATTGTTATGTATTTCATAAATAAATGTTTTCATGTAGACATAGACTATCCAGCTTTTTGGACTATCCTGTGGTTCTATCTTTTGAACTCATGGGAATAATTGTGAGTCAAGGTGAATAAGTTATGATCTGTTCTGTTTAAGTAGAATGCTTAGTAGACTTAAGGTTTTATTTTAATGAAGTTACATTAACAAGGTTCCCCCAGGAAATCCTGATGAGTGCCAAAATTTGAAAACCACTGTTTTGAAGGATTCTTAAAAAAAAAGGTGATACTTAAAAAAAAAGTATTTATTTTTTAGTTGTAAGTGGACACAATAGCTTTATTTTATTTTAATGTGGGGCTGAGGAACCCAGTGCCTCACATGGGCTAGGCAAGCACTCTACCACTGAGCCACAACCCTAGCCCCCTAGAGGTGATACTTTTATATGTGATTTCTTCACAAAATTCTGAGGTTGAAGCACTGTCAAACCAGTATGAATAGTTCTTCAAATGGTTTCAAGTATGTCTCTTGAAGAGCAGGGTATAAAATAGTCTTCAGAATTATAGATTTTCTTCTCAGAACTGTTTGGAGCAGGAAGTACTATTATAAGTGTTTAATAGGAACCTTCCACTTGCCTGTAATAGCTTCTTGACCAAACCAAAATATATAAAACCAATTATTAAGTTATTTTGTACTTTCCTGGGTAGTTTTTAACTGAAATATTTTATATGATTTTGTATTTAAAATAAAATATAATGCTAAAATTATCTGTTCTTTAAGAGATAAAATACATGACTAAAATAAAGTGTCTGTTTTTGTTAATAAACCAGGTAACAACATTTTAATGTCTCTCAGTCATGGACTAGCACCACTGAACCTTTGGATGTAAGAGTTCTTCATGGGGGGGGGGGAAACTGTCCTCCCACTGCAGGATTCATTTAGCCTCCCTGGCATTTATGCATTAATGCCAGTCATCATGACTACCTCCTCCCTCAAGTAAAAGTGCTCCAAACTTTTGAAAGCAGAGAATGATAGTAACCCATAAGGGCATCTGTGGAATGCTCTACCTTAAAACAGACCCCAGAGTACTAGAAGAAGTCCAAGAGTATTGCAACAGGCTCCTTCAGAACCGCTGCAGACACCTCTTCCTAGTCACATACACAGTTCTTGATGTAACCCAGGGTCAGTACTTGACTTACCTAACTGGCAAGTCTCCCAGGCAATCTTGGAATGCTCTGCTGCTACACAAGAAGTTAAAATTTTGTAAAGTGTAGTTAGTATGTGTTCAAGAAGGAAATGAATGACTCTACTAAATGTTAGAATATTTTTTGTTTGTTTAAACACCAAGAACAGAAAATCTAAAACATAATTATGAAATTAATTAGTTAACATTTCAGGGTCTGTAATTTTCCCTTATATTTAAAATAAGGTTGTATTATAGCAGTTTTAGAATTTGTCTAAGAGGTTTTCAGTTTTTACTAGACCCACCCTTAAAAACAAATTAAAATTAGGGTAGTTATTTGGGGGTTGGTTCACTGATTTGTTCTATACTTGAACAGTGACTAGGATAATAATAAGCATTCAATAAATGTTTGATGAAAGAAACTCCACTTTCAGATTATCTTTAGCATTTTACTGATTACTGTTTAATTCTGCTTACTTAACTCTAAATTTATTTCAATCTAACATTTATGAAAACACTGCCCATATGTATAAATGGATTTAATAAGGAAGGATGGATAATTTTTATACATTGAAAGCTATCATTTTTATCTATGTGTTTTTAGCTATTTTAGAATCATTTCAGTTATTTAGAATTAAATCATCAACATCAAGGTGCCAATTTAATAAAAAATTGTCTTTCTATGTGTGTTTTATTTGACCTAGGGATTTCCGTATTTCACTCCATAATGGTTGCCACTGCATTAACACATATTCATGAGTATTCTTCTGTGCATTCTAAACTTGTACCAGACAGTTTAGTAATAAATGAATAAGTAATACAGGCACAATTTTTTAAAACTTCACATAATGGTCACACTCCACCTTTTTGCAAAAAAAAAAAAAAATCTGCCACAATTATTTGGTGAAATAAAGTTTTCACTTTGTTTTAGCTCTAGTGTAAGATTTCTAGGGAGAGGGTTTCCTCAGGCAGAGCTAGTGACGCTGGTGACTACAAATTTATGTGTAGCATATGGAAGAATATAATCTTATTTTTAATAATTTTATTTTTGCTTTTTTGAAGTTTATCTCATTTTTAGTAAAATTGTACTTAGCATGAATGGGTAAGCAATCTTTTAAAAATTTTATTCACTATTTGATGTGCTTCCACCTAGAATTGATGAAATGCCTCAAAATAATAAAATCTGTTAAATTTTATTTTTCTCATAAAAATCAGACGACAATCATTTTTATTGTAAGCCATAGAATTTCTGTGGTGCTACAATGGAGTATTACTCTGCATTAAAAAATGACAAAATCATAGAATTTACAGGGAAATGGATGGCATTAGAGCAGATTATGCTAAGTGAAGCTAGCCAATCCCTAAAAAACAAATGCCAAATGTCTTCTTTGATATAAGGAGAGTAACTAAGAACAGAGTAGGGTCGAAGAGCATGAGAAGAAGATTAACATTAAACAGGGATGAGAGGTGGGAGGGAAAGGGAGAGAGAAGGGAAAAAGCATGGAAACGGAAGGAGACCCTCAGAGTTATACAAAAGTACATACAAGAGGAAGTGAGGGGAAGGGGAAAAATAATACAAGGGGGACAAACGAATGTCAGTAGAGGGGGCAGAGAGAGAAGAGGGGAGGGGAGGGGAGGGGGGGGTGATAGTAGAGGATAGGAAAGGCAGCAGAATACAACAGACACTAGTATGGCAATATGTAAATCAATGGATGTGTAACTGATGTGATTCTGCAATCTGTATATGGGGTAAAAATGGGAGCTCATAACCCACTTGAATCAAATTGTGAAATATGATATATCAAGAACTATGTAATGTTTTGAACAGCCAACAATAAAAAATTAAAAAAAAAAAAAAAAGAAGTTCTAATAAAAAATAGTTACAGTTGCTGAAAGCGTAGCATGTGGAATTTTCAACAGCTTCCCTTCTTCCCCTTCCCTGTCTCTCATCACTGGAAATAAAATTTATTGGATCCTGAGGAACTGGAGAAGTGTGGTGTTTTGTTTTTTTCTTTTTTCTTTTCCTTGATTATATTTGTAATTTGCTTTGGTTCAGAATACAGAAATACCTGTAGCAGTTGCCTATGGCATTTCTGATTAGGACTCCAGCTGTTCCTCCCTGGATGGAGTGGGAAATCCTTTAGAGCTACATGACTGCCAGGGGGGTGCTTGTAACCTGACATACAAAAACAACACTGCCTATTGTGTTATAAGTGCTTCTGGTATTCATATCTCAGTCATGGCCTAAGTTTTTGATAATCAGAGTAAATGAAGCAGGTTTTCTTTTTGAAATGAATAGTTTGTTGATCAATATATACTAGTAGTGGCTCTCAATTTGTAAAGCTGGGAATATTCAGGATATGTGAACTGTTTCATCTATTTGATCTGGGCTTGAATTTCTTTTTTCCTTCTAATTTGGTACAGAGGCTTAGGAAAATATTTGATCTTCCTCTCAAAAATGTCAAGGTACATTAGCTCAGGTAATTAGAATAAATGTAAAATTTTCGGGTTGTTTATCCAGATTGCTCATTTTCACTAAATTTAGAAAGTAGCTTGGTTCTTATCTATAGTTTCCCTGTGAGAATTCAATTTTATATGAGATTGTATTGTGTTCAACATTTCTAGTGTATTTTCTTAAGACTTCGAAATTTCACAAAACCGTAAAATTTTTAAATTCTTCAGTGGAGCCCAGAGGATTTTTAGGGCAGTGAAAATGCTCTGGATGATACTGTAATGGTGGATACAAGTCCATATATATAAATTCATAGAATGTACAACAAGAGTGAACCTAAATGAAAACCATGAACTTAATGGTTATATTTAGTGACTTTAACAAATGTACCACTCTGGTTGGGGGAATGTTGATACTGAAGAAGCCAATGCATGTGTGGGGACAGGAGGCATATGGGAAATCTCTACTTCATGCTCTATTTTGCCATTCACCTAAAATTGCTTTTTAAAAATAAAGTCTTTCGGAGCTGGGGTTATGGCTCAAGTGGTAGAGTGCTCGCTTAGCACCTGTGAGGCACTGGGTTCAATCCTCAGCACCACATAAAAAATAAAATAAAGATATTGTATCCACCTAAAACTAAAAAATAAAAATAAAAAATAAAGTCTTTGGAAAAATATTGGGGAGAGCAAACATAGGTACCAACTTACTTTCTCAAGGTTATAAAATTTTACCATTCACCATCAAACACTTTATCATAAAACATTAAAATTAAAATCTCAAAATAGCAACTTTACATTAACTATGAAGAAAAAAGAAATAATAAATAATTTAAAACCTCAAATGTAAGAATAGATGCACCATGAAATTTTATTTTATAGTGTTACCCTTTTTTGTTATTTTATTGAAGTCGGTTTGTCAGTTTGGAGATCTTTAGGCTTTCGGGTCTCACAAAATAGTAAAAACTTTTAAATTTGGTACCACCAAATGGAGTCTGACTGGTTGCATCTTTCTAGTTCTTTGTTTTTATCTCACTGAAAATCCACTTTCAGCTTGGTGTGTGAATGGAAGTGATTCTTACAAAGCTACTTGAGTCAATTCAGAATATTAACAATATAAGTCCTATTTCCGGGTAGGCCTAAAATTAGCATTGACAGGCCAAGCTACCAGTTTATAAGTGCTGCAGAGAAGGATAATGGAATACAGGTGCCTTTAGCCAGGATTGCTACTGGGAACCTTGATCCCAAGTGCCAAATCTAAAGCATTCTGGGAGTTAGCCAGCATCTGCTATCAGAAAGCCTACCAGTCCATACACAAGACCTTAATTTGTAGATAAGTGCTTCTGCCACAGCAGAAACACTACTCACTACTATAGCTGGACAAATAATTTCTTGAACGAAGAACCAAAATATACTTCTATAAGTACTCAGTGATGTAGTTGTTGCTAGTGAGACTCTGATCACTAAGACATGGTCTTTGAGCTCCTAATATTAGTTCAGGTAAATGGATGAGATGGGGAAAATTTAAAAATCTTATAATGCATGCTCAAGTAAGATTTCTCCTTGAATTTCTTCTTGAATATGAAAGGAACAAAGTAAGGAGCAATTGATTGCCAGTTTCTTTTCCCAAATATACACTTGTTCAGGGGCTAA